GGGGGGGGAGGGGGCGGGGGGAAGGAGGGAGGAGATGTCGATGACTTCGAGGTGGCCGGAGGGGCGGAGAAGGTCGTGGAGGTGGCGGTAGAGTTGGGGGTAGGAGGAGGGGTGGAAGGCGCCTTTCATGTTGCGGAGGTGGATGAGGTCGTATTTTTCAGGGACGTCCCATTCTCCGTCGTCGTCGTCATCGTCATCGTCATCGTCCTCATCGTCTTCTTCTCCTTCTTCGTCCCCTTCTCCTCCTTCTTCTTCTTCTCCTTCTTCTTCTTCCTCTTCCTTTTCCTCTCCAGGCTCGCTGCAACCGCAATCGTCCTCGACCTTCACGTTGCGGTTAGCGACCGCTTTGCCTTCGTCACTGCTCCCGCTCGCCGGGATGATACCCGTGTCAAACTCAAACTCATTCCCCGAACCCAGCCCCTCGTCCTCAGCCTCCTGCAGCGGCTCGACGTCGTCCACGAACCACGTCAGATTCTCTGGTAAGTCTCCACCTCGGCCGTCGGGCGGATCGTCCAGCAGGTACCACGGGCTGAGGTCCACAGCGTACACCCGTGCGTCGGGATGCAGCTCCGCGATGGCGATGGCCCAGTCGCCGGGACCGGCGCCGAGGTCGAGGACGCGAGGAGGGCGGAGCGGACGGGGAGTGTAGGTGGCGGAGCGGCGGGAGTATGGAGGGAAGGGCACGGTGGTGAGGGCGCCATTGAGGAGGAGGGTGAATACTTGGTGAGCCAAGCTGAGGCGGGTAGCTTCTGAAAGATCGCAGGGCATATAATAGCTGTGGTTGGGGTAGTTCCGGGAGTTTTCGAGGATGGGAGGAAGGAGAATTCTATCCAAGGTAAGAGTCGATTTCTGGTGGGAGAAATATATCTTCCTAGAGAAACGGATGGGAATTGCACGCTGGGCTCTTGTCACTTACATTTCCGTTGCGGAGCCCGCACTCGAGGCGGGCTGCGAGAATTGTCCTTGCTCTTCACCCATGGTAGCGAGTCACTGTTTTTGGGAGTTGTTGAACATTTGCAACGTCAGGCGAGAATTCCCCTCGCATCGTGGTCCAATTGATGCACCGCTCGACAAATTCAAATCGATTCCGTTCTCCACGTCGACGTGTCCATCGCATGCAAGGCAGTCTCGAAGCGGTGATGGTCGGACGGCCCGCATCAAACCGCGTGCGGAAACGGGAGAGGGCTCTTAGAATCCGACGCGGCACTGGACGAAAACGAAGCAATTGTCTCGGACGGGCATGATAACGATAGCAGGGAATATAAGTCAGGCACGTCGATACTGAACGAGTGATACCAAGGACGAGGGGTATGAGGGAGTGACAGTATAAGGGTGATGTTAGGTTGCCAGCAGACCAGGCAAAGGAACGGGGGAGCGAGTCAGACACTGAGACAAGATCGATCTAAAAAGGCGATCCGGAGGGTCTCTGGACTGCTGGAGGCCGTTCTTATACTAGGATTTTAGTCCATGTACATGGAGCTAGGTGTCCGAACTTAGACGAGCATCAAAGACCGGGCCAGCCCCCAGCGACAAGGAGCAACCGAGCATTCGAATTTCGAGGGACTGCAGGCAAAGAACCGTGGACAAGAGGCATCAAGAAACTGGGGACCTAGGTGTCGAAGCGGGCCAATATTCCGACGATTTGTAAATCTTGCATTAATCAGCTCGGCGGGTCTTCCACATGGTCATATCTGGAAATGACAACGGCGGAGGAAACTCGAGAAACCTGGAGAAATGGTACATAAGGCGGATGCATATCAGAGCTGACCCAGCCCCCAGGGTCTTTGGCGAGTGCTGCCGTCTCCCCGCCTCATCCAGACCGTCAAGGTAGCTACGAACACGGAGATAATAATCAGCCCTGTAACCTGAAGCAGGCGGTTAGGCAATAGTCGAAACTAGATAAGAGTAAATAAATTCACCGGACTTGCGAGCGTCCTACACCGTCAACCGAGCAACCCTAAACCGAACCGATAATATAAATTCGGTATGATAACTCTGAAACCACACCCAATCCCGCCGACCGAACCATTGGGTATCCTCTCTCTCTTGGGAGTTGGGAATGGGGAATAGGGACGACACGGCATGCTCTGGGAACCGACGGGGCGACGATACTGCAGGCGGGCATCCGATGGCGACTTTTCTCAACCTCCCCGCCGGCTCACACCTCGCACGGAATTCAACGGCCTGGTGCGACCTTCGACGGGGCCTTTCAGGGTCGACCCGGGACTTTGGGACGGGTTCGTCGGTGTTGTTTGGAGCCGTTGGCCGAATCATTTGGTCGGTATGGTAATTGGTATTCTCGTACGGAGTATTTGTTGGTGGTTTGAATGGGTGGCCGGAAGCTGGTCAGTCTTCTTAAAGTGTTTGGCTTAATGGCCGATGCACTCCAGCCTCTAGGCCCAAGTGCCTAATTGATAATTCCCATCTCTCCTCCCCGAGAGCTGCGGCCTGCGGGTGGTCTAGGTACTCAGCTTGGCCGACGGGAATAGGGGAGGGTTAGGATTGTGAATTGCAAAGATTTGTCACTTGTCACTTGTCAGGTTCTGCTCTCTGATTGAACAGCTTACTGGTTATAGGATTGAGTGAATTGACCCAGCCGGACGGGGCCGTCCCGCCCGTGACCCTGTCCCGAGAAACATCAGATTCATTTCATCCCAGCATCAACAAGTGACATTCCGATGCCGACGGCCGATACCGGTGGTATTTGATATTTGATATTTGATATTTGATTTGACATTGGTGCGAAGAAAGGACAGCGATTCCAATAACCGAGCTGGAGCCAGTCCTCGCCGACCCGATCATCGCAACGTCGCACCGAACTTTTTGAGTGGGCGGTTAAAATACCGGTAAACGTACACAGAGATTTGATTTTTACTTTTCGGGGGCGGTGGTGTTCCACGCAATCGAGCAACAGAGGACAGATATGGTTTCTCAGTTTTGGTAGGGCAGGAAAGAGATCAACTTTCCTGCCCCCGGAGGTACGGTATCATCCACACCATCGGCACCAACACGAGCTACACCTCTACTCTAGCTCCTGCTTCTCAAACGCCGGTAACCGCCCTGCCACCTCCTCCCATGCCTCCACTCCCTCACTCATCCTCTGCACGGCTTGACAAATTTCCTCCTCTCCCGCCCTCACCTGCTTCATCGAGTCGCGCTCCCGCAGCGTCAACGACCCATCCTTAACGGACTGGAAGTCGACGGTGATGCCGAACGGGGTGCCGAGCTCGTCGTTGCGGGCGTAGCGCTTGCCGATGGTGGCGGAGGAGTCGTCGACGCGGTTGGAGACGCCGAGGACGCGGAGGCGGTGGCTGATACGGCGGACGAGCGGGGCGAAGTCGGGGTGGGTGGATAGGGGGACGAGGAGGACTTTAGTGGGGGCGATGGTGGGGGGGAAGGAGAGGACCTAGGGAGGGTTAGTGGGATTGGGAAGATAGAGGGGGGGAACTTACGCAGCGGGCGTCGGAGCCAGGGCGGGTCCAGTAGCTGTGTTCGATTAGGCTGTAGAGGATGCGGCCGATGCCGAAGGATGGTTCGATGACGTTGGGGGTATACTCGCGAGTATTCTCCACCCTCGTCCGCTTCTCGATGGCGATAAGATCTTTCTCAAGCTCGACCGTCCCGTTACCCACTCCGTTCACATCCACCGACACCTTCCCTTCCGACTTCAGGTCTAGCGACAGTTTCTCCAGCACATCCTGCGTGAGCCCCTCGATGGCCGCCTCGACCGTCTTCGCGTCCTTCTTGAACTTCGGCCCAAACTTCTTCTTCTCGATGTCCACCTGCCACTCCTCGATGCGCAGCGGCTCCTTGCGCGTCTCCCGCACGCACAGCGGCTGCCCGGTCGCCTTGGCGTGCACGGTCAGGTCGTAGGCGCTACGGTCGGCGCAGCCCACGCACTCGATCCAGCCGTAGCTGGTGAGCAGCTCGGCGTCCCAGCAGTCGGCGGCGTAGTGCGCCATCTCGTTCTGCATGTGCTGGCGGAAGCGGACCTTCTTCGCGTCGACGCCGAGTTTCTGGAGGAAGAGATGGATCCGCGCGAGGAAGTACCCGAGGGTTTCGTTGTCGACGATCTTCTGCTCGACGGCCTTCCCAATCGATACACGCTCGACGTCTGTCTTCCCCGCCAACTGCACCTCGCGGTTCAGCAGCTCCAGCTCGATGTTGCGGACCTCGTCGAAGCGGGGGTGCTTCTTCCCGCCCTCGGGGTCGACGAAGTGCTCGATCTCCGCCATCAGGAACTCGCGGACGCGCAGGAGGCCGGAGCGCGGGGAGATCTCGTTGCGGAAGGATTTGCCGATGGAGGCGGAGGCGAAGGGCATGGCTTGGTTGTTGAACTCGAGGAGCTTAGAGAAGGTGAGGAATTGGCCCTGGGCGGTCTCCGGGCGGAGGTAGCCCGGGAGGGCGGCGCTGGGGCCGATGTTCGTGGAGAACATGAGGTTGAAGGGCTCGGGTGGGGGGAGGACATCGCCGGTGCGAGGGCTGCGGATGTCGTATTTGGTGATGAGTTGGCCGAGCTGCTCGCCGTTGTAGTTGTCGATCTGAGACGAATTAGCACCATGACCAAAAGACCGCTTGGGACACCAACCTTCGCCAGAACTTCCTCAATCTCCGTCACCACGGCATCGTCTAGCTTGACAGCCTTGGTGTCCTTGACCTTCTTCTTTCGCTTTTGCTCTCCTTCCTCCGCCGTCGGCTTGACTCCTCGAGCCTCCTTGTCCCCCTTCAGTCGGTCCTCCAGCACCTCTTCCACCAAGTGATCCGCACGGTAGAACTCCCCGCTCTTCGGATCCTTGATCATCCAGTCCGCGAACTTATCGACATGCCCACTAGTTTTCAACACATAATGCGGGGTCAAGATGGCGCAGTCCACCTCCAGCATATTCTCCTCGAGCACGAAATGTTTCCGCCACAGATCCACGATGTTTGCCTGCAGCCCACATCCCGCGGGGCCGTAGTCGAACAAACCCTTGGGATTTCCGGGATAGATTTCGAACGAGGGGGTGTAGAAGAGGCGTCGTCGCATCAGGGACTCGAGGGAGACCCGGTCGAAGGCCTCCCCGTTCTTCGTGGTCATTCCGGCAGACATCGCGGCGTCCTCGATGCGGGAGCGCTTCTTTGGTTTGGAGTGGTGGAGGGCGCTGGTGGATGTGAAGGGACGAAAATTGGACCGGCCGGAGAGGCAAATATATTGGTGGTTTAGTGGACGGATGAGTCGAGAGTGGAGGCGGAGAGGAAGAGAGCTGCGCATGTACAGCTGTGTCGAAGCGACAGCTCCAGTCAATCGGGTAAGTTGAACGTGGCGTTAAGCAATGGAATGTTATTCAGGAGGGATCTTCGTGAGTATAATCTTTCCTGAAACCAGCAATGTATTCAATTCGAAATAATACTAAGAATTGCCAGTGACACATCCCCCCAAATTGAGACTATCTCTCTGACTCCCTCCCAGTGGTTGGTTGGTCGGTGCTCTCTATTTGCCCTGAACAATTTTGAATTTTCCCCCACCAATCACATCTAGTCGCATTTCATCCTCTAGGAAATTTCTCCATGCCACCCTTTCTAATGCAAGCAATTGTCCCCAAAACTCAAATCTAGCTAAATTGTGGGAAGAAGCATAGAGGCCGCCAAAATGGCTTTCAGTAAATCCAGCTCAGACCGGTCCACCGTTCCCTATCGCCCAGCGAACAAGGAACGTCGCCGGAACATCCACCTCCGCCAGCTACGGGAGAAGGAAGCGGAGAAGCGAAAGGAACGGTTTCGCCGCAAGAAAGAGGAGGATAAGAACCCGGCACTGCGGGAGGCGCGGAGAGCCAAAAATGTTCCCATCACGATCGATAAGAAGCGGGTGTGGGACGATGTCGGTTCGGATGAGGAGAATATCTTGGGGTTGAGCGTGGATGTGGAGAGGCTGAAGCGACGGAAGGTGGAGGAGGAGGAGGAGGCTCAGAACCTGGAAGGATTGGAGGATAAGGACGGAAACGAATGGGAAGATGAGGAGGCTGCGGAGGAGGACGATGATCGAGACAGTATGCTCGACGAGGATTCGGAAGCAGAGGATCTCGAGGATTTAGAAGACGACGCAATACCCTCCAAGGCAAAAGCGAAGAAGGCAACAGAACCCACCGAAGAATCAGAGCGGACAAGACATACCAGTCCCTCCGGATCGACCACCAGCACCAAATTCGACCTCGTCCCCGAAGCGCTCTCCACCAAATTCCCAACCCTCTTTACTGCCCCCACCGAACCCAAAGTCCTCATCACCACCTCCATCAATAGCACTCTCCACGACGAAGCCCGCCTCCTCACCACGCTCTTCCCCAACAGCACCTACATCCGCCGCACGGAGCACCGCTACGGCCACAAATACTCCGTCCGAGAAATCGCCAAGTTCGCAGCCAACCGCGACTACACCACCGTCATGGTGATGATGGAGGATCAGAAAGTCCCGTGCGGCCTCACGGTCGTGCACCTCCCCGAGGGCCCGACGTTCCACTTCAGCATCAGCAACTGGATGGAGGGCAAGAAGCTCCCCGGGCACGGCAACCCGACCAACCACCACCCGGAGCTGATACTCAACAACTTCCGCACCCCGCTGGGCATGCTGACAGCGCAGCTGTTCCGCACGCTGTTCCCGGTGTCACCCGAGCTGCAGGGGCGGCAGGTGGTGACGCTGCACAATCAGCGGGACTACATCTTCGTGCGGCGGCATCGGTACGTGTTTCGGGACAAGCGGAAGACGGAGAAGAGCGTGATCGGGACGGATGGGAAGCCGGTGCAGGGAGTGGAGGAGATACGGGCGGGGTTGCAGGAGTTGGGGCCGCGATTGACGTTGAAGTTGAGGAGGGTGGATAAGGGGATCCAGAGGGCGAGTGGGCAGGAGTGGGAGTGGAAGGCGCATTCGGAGAGGGTGAGGACGAGGTTTGGGATGTAGTTGTTTGTTTGGACATCATCATTGTTATCAGGACACGGAGGGACTTGGGTTGAATCTAATGGATAGTCCGAAGAGCTTGATTGTCTTGATACCTGCCTCTGATGGTGACCGCCCCTGACAGGCATGCTGGGTACCGTACCGCACTGTCGTCCATATTCCATGCCCATAGGTGCTCAACCATGTTATGATGATGTTTAGTAGGATGCCACGACTTATCAAGAACAAACGATAGGCTATAAAGGCGCGGTACACCCCAAGCAGCCCGACCATTCACCCACCTCCCCCTCGGCGAATTATTACCGTACTATATCACTCCAACCCTTCAATTTCCCAGTATTCGGGCGCCATGGCTGTGAATGGAGGGAGCCCGTCTCCCTGATAATAATGATCAGTTCCATCGGTTGGAAACCCAGTGTTCGACTCCGGTCGATGTCGACAGACTTAAATCATGCTTCGGCCGCCTCTGATAATGATGGTCTGGCGCGTAAAAACCTCTATTACACTACCGGGAGGTTCTCGTAGGGTTTCCGTGTATGCAGGGACTGAGCTTTTTTGCTTTTTTTTTGGATAAAAGGTTCCATATAGACGGAAATAATAGAAGGGAAGGCGTTGTTATGGAGTGAGTGGACAGACGTTGATGGTCTGTTTACTCACTCCGTTGATATCGAGTTCACGATAGAGGCAGGGAACGCTAGTAAAGCCACTGGTCGACGCCCATGACAGAACTGAGAGAGTCTAAATTTCAAACCACCACTGACAATTCGAATTAGCGGTTTAATTCCTTGAAATCCCTGAAATCCCTGCATCTCCACGCCCATTTGCCAGAAATTCGCCAGTAATTCCACCTAGTTGATCGGAATCGACTAGGACCGCCGGGGATGACGCTGGCGGGTGGCCTGCCGGTTGCCCCTCTCCTCCCTTTGTTTGGACCCATCAACTCTCGACACATCACTATTACGCCGATGTGATGCACTGCGAGGTACAACTCTCCAAGTACTGGATACACCCTTTTGCATTGCATATTATTCATAAGTTCATACGATACATTATCTTGATATCTCCTCTAAGTATACAGTACAGCTGGTTCGACTTTCTCCCTATCGACAAGCCATACCCGACCCGTTCTCGAGGACATCCGGGGCATAACATTGCAGTCGATTGGTAATTCGTACTTCAGTCGCATGCAGGCAACTCTCCATTGCCGGTGCAGATATGGCTCTGCTTGAAACCCAGTGGATCAATGTGCAGCAGAAGACCTTCACGAAATGGTACGGAGCCGTTCGTTGCCGGAGAAGATAGCACGCCGGGTTGTTGACGTTTCCATAGGTTAAATAGTAAGGTGCATGCTCGACAAGTCGAGGTACAAGACCTGGTCAAAGACCTTAGCGATGGAGTACGTATACCCTCTGCGATGCCCTGAAACCTCTCGACCGGAGCAACGATTGACTTCGATTTATAACAGGTCATCCTCGTCCACCTCCTCGAAATCCTCGGCAACGAATCCCTAGGTCGCTACGCCGCGAAACCGAAGCTCCGCGTCCAGAAGTTCGAAAACGTCAACAAGGCCCTCGACTACATCCGCAACCGCAGCATCCAGCTGACCAACATCGGCGCCGAAGATGTCGTCGATGGGAACCGCAAGATCATCCTGGGGTTGATCTGGATGCTCATCCTGCGGTTTACCATCAGCGATATCAACGAGGCGGGACTGAGCGCGAAAGAGGGGTTGCTGCTCTGGTGTCAGCGGAAGACGGCATGTTATGATGAGGTGGACGTGCGCGATTTCTCGTCAAGTTGGAACGATGGGCTAGCATTGTGAGTATCTACATGTTGCGACGCAATATCGCTGGAAGTTCGTCGACTAACGAGGGACGAAAAGCTGTGCCCTCCTCGACATCCACCGCCCCGACCTCATCGACTACGACAAACTCGACAAATCCGACCACCGCGGCAACATGCAGCTCGCCTTCAAGCTCGCCTCCGAAGAAATCGGCATCCCGGATCTCCTCGACGTCGAGGACATCTGCGACGTCCCCAAACCCGACGAACGCTCGCTGATGACCTACATCGCATACTGGTTCCACGCCTTCTCACAGATGGAGCACGTCGAGAACTGCGGGCGCCGCGTCGAGAAGTTCGTGTCGAACACGCAGGGCGCGTGGGAGATGCAGAACTCGTTCGAGCAGCGGATGCGGGCGCTGCTGGAGCAGATTCGACGGCAGATGCAGGTGTGGGCGGAGGGGCGGTTCGAGGGGACGTATGCGGATGCGAAGCGGCAGTTGGGGCATTTTAATCAGTATAAGCGGGAGCAAAAGCGGAAATGGGTGGCGGAGAAGTCGGATTTGAACGGGTTGTTGGGGAACATCAAGACGAAGTTGGCGACGTATCGGCTGCAGCCGTATGATCCTCCGCAAGAGTTGAGTTTGGATGCGTTGGATGCGGCGTGGGTACGGCTTGCGAGGGCCGAGCAGGAGCGCAGTCAAATCATCAACGAAACGATCCGAAAGTAAGTATTGCATCCTCTGAAGAGCAGGCGTGGCTAATCCGAAATAGAATCAAAGACTCCCTCCGCAAATCATTCGCCCACAATGCCAACGAGCTGGCCCTCACCCTTTCCACCATCTCCATGTCGATATCGGCCTTGGACGGCGACGTCGACGACCAACTCCGCCACGCCAAAGCCATGAGCGAGAACATGGCCCCCCTCGACAGCTTCCTCACCTCCCTCGCGAACCTCGACCGACAGTGCGTCGAAGCCAACATCGAAGAAAACGACGACACCATCTACACGTACGATGATCTCGAGTACGAGCTCGAGCTCGTCAAATCCAGCGTCTCCAAAAAGATCGCCTTCCTCGAGAACCAGCTCGTCGCGCGCAATATGACCAACCTGACCCCGATCCAGCTCGAGGAGTTCGAGTCGGTGTTCCGGCACTTCGACCGGGACCTCAACAACACGTTGACGGAGCTGGAGTTCAGCGCGGCGTTGGCAAGCTTGGGGATCGCGTACGACACGGATGAGATGCACGCGAAGTTCCTGCAGACGAGCGGGGGGAAGAGCAAGGTGACGTTTGAGCAGTTCATTCGGTTCATGGTGGACGTCACGGAGGATCAGCATACGGCGGAGCAGGTGTTTGAGAGTTTTAAGGTGCTGGCGGACGGCAAGGTAAGTTCCCTTCTATTACGAAGCGAGATTTTGGGGGTGGTGTTGACTTGATCGTAGCCATATGTCACGGAACTCGACCTGCGGCTCGCGCTCATCGCGGACGACGTCATCGACGAGCTGGTCAAGGCGATGCCGGCGCATCGGGGGCCGGACCTCGAGGAGGATCGCAGCCGGGAGAAGTTCGATTACATTACGTTCATGCAAGGGATGATGGGGCCGGACGGCAATGGGGCGCGAAGCAATGGACACTGAGGGGCGACGTCTTTAGGTTTCTCAAGTCGCGAGGGAGAACAACTCCTTCTGAGCGGCGCAGGAGAGTATGAGATTATCGGTAGGTTGGCTACGGCGAAGGAGATTAGTGATACCACACGCCAGTACGAGCCGGCACATCGACGGACTGGATCTTTCGATTCATACTTAGGAACAGAGGCATCATCACCGGTCGGGTTTCTCCCGTCCATCGGCCTGCTGTATGATACCAACTGAACTCACCTCGGCAACGGGATGTACTTGAATCTTTCAAATCGAAACATAGTTTCCCAATCCCCACTGGCATTCCTGGGTCTAATCCTCGCCGCTTCTGTCGTTCGCCAGGTGGTTTCATCGTCGCGTTCCAAAGAACTGATTGGTTCGTGAGCGGGAAACCCTATCGCACACGAAACGGGGATGGTTGCATGGCCATGGCGGAATGGATGACCTGAGACATTTTGAATTGGGGTTTTCGGTTTTGGCACATTGTATGCATTGACGGTGAGATTTCTATTAGGGCCGAGGATCGTCGGGAGGGTTGGCGGACGGGTGGTGGCACGCAGGGAGTCCGATCCGATCGTTTCGGAGTCCCAGAAATTCGGAATCGAGCGAGCGTCATTGGGAGATGGGAGGGAGGAGTGCGGTACAGATCTCGGGAGGGGTGGAGGCTAGGAGTGAAAGATGGACCCTTTAAACCCCTTTGGAGTTTGGGATGGTTGGTACGGCATACCATGGTCGATGATGTTGACGACGATGGGGGGTGTTGAAGGTCTTGGAGATTGGAGAGTCGTGATGAAGAGTCCTATATTCTATACAAGCACATCATTGGAGTGATCTTCCATCACAACCAACCAAACACCTGGAGTCTTCGAGGAACGATGCAGCTTCACCTCCCCTATCTATCATCCATATCCGCAAGTTATGGCGGGGAAACGAGTGGTTGGTGCTTAGTTGGGGGGAACAATTCTCTTCCTCCCCGCAGCGACTCAAATTTCACCCAGGACTCCAAAAGTCAGCGAATGCCAACCATCCCCCATTCCGCCCCTTGTCCGTCCTGACTCCTGAGCAGTCAGCACAGCGTCCTTGTCAAGCCTGGTCGGGCGGCTCTTCGATTCCTGCAGCGTACAGTTGTGTTTGGGTTTCTTAGCGGTTGCGAGAGTTCGCTTGTTAGCGGTACGACTCCCTTACCGATTATAGTTCACCTCACCACTTCACTCCCACTGCACTACTACCGCTCCCTACTCCTCCCTACTACTCCCTACTCCTTACATTCTACACTTCACTATTCACTACGCCTCCCACATATCGAGTCCCCAGCTCCCACTACCCAATATTCCCCTCGTAAAATCCCCATGCCGCACATCCCCACCACCCAACCCCCTAGGCCCGCGCCGTGACCGCCTTTCCCGTCCCCAAGCGCGCTTGTCGCCTCCAGCGGCTCGACACCATCCGATCCATCGTTCGGTGCGCCCGCCCGCCCTCGTTTCGAGATTCACCAGCACCCGTCCCGTCATTTGGAAAATTCAGTCGACATCGCTCCACGCTACTGTCAAGAGTACCGGACGGAAACAATATTGCTCGAGTGTGGTCATCGTTGCTGGTCATTGACACGCTGGGCTTTGCATCCGTCATATCATCCGACTTTCCAGGTGAATACCCCCAGGGTACGGAGGTCGAAACGCTAGAATCTCCGAATCGTTTCGTTCTGCATCCTGCGCATTGAGCGTCCCGCCGATACTGGACAGTCAAGACTTCCCCAGATAGGTCACTTGCTTGGGTCACTCGATCCCGTCACCTATCGTTCGCGTTATCGATTCCTCTCGACCGCACGAGGCATCGTCTGTGCCGCGGTCCACCATCGAGGCGCTGAGACACGAACATCTGCGGTGTCACAGTTGCGCCTCTGGATTCCAGCGGCAATTCGTGTAGAAGAAGCGTCACTTTCGTTTGATTCAGCATTGACAGTCATAACGAACCGCCACCATGTCTTCCAACCCTCCGTAAGTTCTTCTTTTTATACGAGGGTGATCCATCCCGTCCAGCAACCTCGACCATTCCTCCGCCAACAATGTCGCTTCGGGATCCCACGAGCGCCCCTGATATCGGCCATCGTATGGACGTCTGACTAACCGAACGACACAGCATCTACTCCGCCAACCAGTTCATGAACCCTGGCCCCGCCCCGAAACCGCCGACCGACCGCCCTCGCTTGGCCCTCACCCCCTCCGTCAACAATGTCCCCGGAAACATGCCCGGCCTGGGCTCGCAGAACTCCGCGAACAGTTCCACCGTCTCCCTCAACCGATCGCATACCGACAAGAGCATCATCAGCGCCTACGCCGTGGTCAAGGACGGGCCCGCTAAGGTCAAAGATGAATCCAGTGCGATCAAGGGCTTTTTCTGGTCGGACAAGTACCTGACGTTGCGGGAATATCAACTGGAGTTCTACAAGAACCAATCGTCCTCAAAAACCCAATTCTCCATCATGCTCAAGGATGTCACCAACATCACGAGATCCGACGTACACCCGTACTCGTTCGAGATCACCCGGGCGACGGGCGGCAGCGGCGGCGCATCACCGCCACGAGACGGGCCAACGCGCGTGATCATCTGCAAAGTGGAGACGGACGACGACGTGTACTCGTGGATCGACTCCATCTACCAACGATGCCCGAGCATGGCCGTGGTCAGCAACCCCACAAACTTCAGCCACCGCGTGCACGTCGGCTTCGACCCCACCAGCGGCGCGTTCACGGGCCTGCCGCCCGAATGGGCGAAGCTACTGTCCGCGTCGGCCATCACGAAGGAGGATTACGAGAAGAACCCGGGCGCCGTCATGGAGGCGTTGCACTTCTACACCGAGACCCTGACGAAGCGTGCGGAAGATCCCGTGGCGTACCCGCAGTTGATGCCCACCCCCCCTCCTGAGTCCAACAAGCGTCTGGAATACTCAGGGGGAAGCTCCATCGCTCCACCTCGCCCCGCGCCCCCTCCCAACGCCTTCAAACGGCAAGACAGCTATCCCATCCGCAACGCGAGCCCTCAATCCGCTGCGCCGTACTCTCCGGTCAACGAGCGCGGGCCGTATGGGCAGCAGCAACGGGATTACGGCCGGGAAGATGAAGAGCGCGAACGTCGACGCCGCATGGAAGAGGAACAGTACCGACGCCGCGAGCAAGAACAGCGGGAGCGCGAACGGGAACGGGAGCGCGAACGACGTGAGCGTGAAGAGCAGGATGCCTACAATGCGTCCCTTCCGAAAACCCGTGCGCCCATGGCGAAGCAGGAACTGGGCGGCTACGGCGGCGACCCGCGCGACGCGCAGTCATCGACTCAACAGCGCTACAACGCACAACGACCCGCCCCCTCGGCCCCCGGTGCCGGCCGAGGCGAGCGCCAGCACCAGCAGCCGCCGGGCTCGCTCCGCCAGATGACGGCGCAACGCGCCGCGCCGTCCGCCCCCGGCTCGCAGAACGGCGGGAAAGGGTACGGGCAGCCGCAGTCGAAGCTTCCCGTCAACGGGCAGCGGCAGGGGAGTCCGAGCACGCGGCAACAGACCGGACCGAACGGACAACCAATGACGCGGATCCCGACCACGGGCCAGAACGGCCAACAGCAAGGCTCCAGCCAACAAACGCGCATCCCGGGGGTCTCGGCGCCGAAACCGCTCAACGTGCCGACGAAAGCGCCCACCGGCGCGCCGGGCCAGGACGGGGTGAAGAAAGCCGAGGCGGCGCTCACGCGCAAGGAGGACCCGCCGTCGCGGAAAGACCAGCGCATGAGCAGCATGACTGAGAGCGAGGTGATGGCGAAGCTACGGGAGGTGGTGTCGAAGGAGCGGCCGCTGGACTCGTACAACAAGCAGAAGAAGATCGGGCAGGGGGCATCCGGGTCGGTGTACGTGGCGCGGATCCGCGAGAGCGCGACGTCGCCGATCGCACGGCGGCTGCTGCGCGACCACGGGCTCAAGGCACAGGTGGCGATCAAGCAGATGGACCTGCGCAACCAGCCGCGGAAGGAGCTGATCGTCAACGAGATCATCGTGATGAAGGATAGCAAGCATCCGAACATTGTGAATTTCCTGGACGCGTTTCTGCAGGAGGAGAGTTCGGAGTTGTGGGTAGTGATGGAGTTCATGGAGGGGGGCGCGCTGACGGACGTGATCGACAACAACCCGACCATCAGCGAGGATCAGATTGCGACGGTGTGCTTGGAGGTAAGTCTTAACGTGCGATTTTATGGTCATATGCTGATTTGGGATTAGACATGCAAGGGCCTCGAGCACCTGCACTCGCAGAACATCATCCATCGCGACATCAAGAGCGACAATGTCCTCCTCGACGCCCGCGGCAACGTCAAGATCAGTAAGTTTCCGTCCCCTCGTTTCAGATTCATCTAACCCTCCCACCAGCCGACTTCGGCTTCTGCGCCAAACTCACCGAGCAACGCAGCAAGCGCGCCACCATGGTCGGCACCCCCTACTGGATGGCCCCTGAAGTCGTCAAGCAGAAAGAATACGGCAGCAAAGTCGACATCTGGTCGCTCGGGATCATGGCGATCGAGATGATCGAGTCGGAGCCGCCGTACCTCAACGAAGAGCCCCTGAAAGCCCTCTACCTCATCGCAACCCACGGCACCCCCCGGCTCAAGAAACCCGAGAAGCTTAGCAAGGAGCTGAAGTCGTTCCTGAGCGTGTGCCTGTGCGTGGACGTCAAGAGCCGGGCGACGGCGACGGAGTTGATGGGACATGATTTCTTGAAGGGGGGGTGCAGTTTGGCGAGCTTGGCGCAACTGTTGGCATTTCGGCAGAAGAGCCATTGAAAGCGATTTGCGAGCGAGCGACATTCGGGGGTGAGCGATGGATGATGGGTTGGGGGCTGGGTTTGAGGATTTCTTGATGTGACCATGAAACGAACGGGAGGGAGCGCGTGCCGGGGGGTGGTTTAGTGTCGTCAACGAGATGCGAGAAGCAAATGACGATGGGGTGCCTGACGGTTATACCGTTCTTCCTCTGCCACCACCTATCTCCAGGTACCTGGCCTTGGGTGAAGAGGACACGCAAACTTGCTGTCTCCTGCGGCAATACGCGTCGGTAACATAGAGTGATTGAAGACAATTCGTGGCGACATCACGCACGGGAGGGAAGCGAACATGACAGGGATTGGATATATCAACGGAAGAGGACGTGCATTGGATATCACCGCTGCGGAGGATGGGAATGGGTCTGACTCAGCTGGCTCGGGTCGGCTGGTGGTGCCGAAGGACGGGAACTATATGTGAATACGACGGATGGCTAATTAATAGTGCAATTGAAAACGGATTAAGTTAAGAAGACTGGCTGTTCCTTTGCTTTCTGTGTGAATGAGGGACAATTATCTCCGGTACCTAACTGCAGCCAGCGGACTCTTCCCGGCCGTCTTGGTGCTATAGGACAACTCCCTTTTGCAACTTGAATGTTAAGTTTCTGCTCTATATTTCTACGTGTACATTACAAGTAAGATTCTAACAAATCGCGACAGCGGTATAATGAATTCATATATGGAAAGCACGACACAGATATCACCATTTGTTCTCGTACATAGTATGAGGAGGGACCTATGGACAGGGGCCGGTTCAAATTAAAAGCATCCTATTGGCTAAAATATTGCAGGGATTCGCGTCACGACCCGAGCCTTGAGGGAAGGCGCAGCGGAGACCCCAGCCACCATCCGACCCGGAACTTTGACAGCGAACACAATTCCTGTTCTTTCTTGCTCTTCACTGCCAGCCCTCAATGGTTGGAGGTACAGAATACAATTGACAGTTGGCTCGGAGCAGATGTAACTCCCAGCCACCCGGACATTACATTACAACTGGGCTGTGATAGCAAGAAAATGCATGCTAGTCAACCACAGCCGAATGTTCAACTCTCGTAGCCTGATGACTCGGTCTCCTTTGCCATGCACAAGAGCGTTGAACTTCTTCGATTCTTCAGAGCCATATTGGTAGTAGTTCCTTGCTTCGCCAATGATTCCCTTTGCTTTACGTTCACTCTTCCTCTATGACTGTCGCTTCATCATGATCGTCTAATGAGTCTTTTCCTTCTCTACCGTCTATATTTCTTATTGAGAGCCAACCCAACCGAGCTGTATCATTTTATCCTGTTCATCCCCGGTCCTACATGTATCATGCCTCCCGCCTTGACCGCCCCCGAACTCCATCAAATCGGCCCCAACCGCACCGACTCCCGCAACGCATCTCGTACCTGCCATGGAATCACTCAGAAAGGCCGGCCCTGCCGCCGTGCCCTCGCCGCGCCCAAATCACCCCTTGCGGTAACGGTCAGCGGGAGCGACGAGGGTTCGGTCGACCTACAAGTGGACGCCGAGGCGTTGTATTGTGTGCATCATAAAACCCAGGCGGTCAGAGATAAGCATGTCGTGACGGTACGCCGCGTCGGATCGAAGGGGAGCTTGGAAGAACTGTTCTCAGGACTGGGGATTGCGGAGTCGGAGATCGGGACGGCATCGGGAAGGGTGGCGGCGAGTCCTTCGTCTCGGGGGAGAAACGAGCATGTCGCGGGACAGAGCTCGACTGCAAATTCCAACCAAAGGAAACCACGACGAGCACGGCGTCGGGAAGAGGGCGGCGACCCGGAGTGGGTACCAGAGAGTGGTGAAGAGCTGCATCTAAAACCACAAGGGATGTCATCGAGCTATGCGAAGGCGCAGCCGCCGCGGACGAGAGCAAGGGCGCCGCGACGACAGCCGCGAAAGAAGGCTTCTTTTCTTTCCTCGTTGATGTCATGCATGACCCTGGACGAACCCCTTGATGATTCACCAAGGGCGCAGAGGAGACCCAGAAGGAAGAACAGCCGGGAGAGTCCACTGGCAGCGATTTCAGAAGAGCAGGAACCGGCTGTTAGAGCTTCTCGAACGCACGTTGAAAGGTTGCATGATGAGGGCCCTTTGCAACAGGGCACGACAGGGGAACTATATCCCCGACTGCCAGAGAGATTATCGACTGATACCTTGGTGGCGTCCATGAGGCTCAGCGCCGCTGAGAATGAAAGCAGGCGAGCTTCAACTCCACGGCATGGACAGCAGCCGAAAGCGGAGAGCCCATCTAAGCTTCGAACTCCCAGCACGGGCAACGGTCCAACGACGCCAAAACGACGACCGGTACAGGGCATTACAGCAAGAAAAGACAGCGCCGTGGATGCATCGGATCGAAGCGACAGCCCTATGCAAGCAAATAGTCGATCTCCCCAACGGACGACAGCAGAACTCATGCAGACCATTTCCCATCTCCCTCCAGCGCTCGCTGCCTCCCTCCTCGCCAAGCTCGCCACGTTCAAACCCACCGGCACTGACGGCTACATCTACATCTACTGGCTCACCGACGCTCACGACCTGCCCCTCCCACAACCGTACCACCAAAACGCCATGTCCCAGAACCACCCCAGCACGCTCATCCCGTCCCTCCAGCGCGTCGACAAGCCCACCATCTTCCTCAAAATTGGCCTCGCCACCAATGTCTACCGCCGCATGAAGCAATGGGATGATTGCGGCTACCCGAAATACAACTGGTTCTACCCCCGCGCGTCGTCAGGCTCCACGCCCGTCACCACCCCCGACGGCCATCATCGGCGACACGGCTCGACAGCGGCCGCCGCATCGCACGGACACGATCTGAACGAACTGCTCGAAAGCGAGCCGGATCGCAACCGCGTCATCCGCAGCGTCGACTGGGTGGAGAAGATGATACATTTGGAACTGCAGGAGCAGCGGGTGAAGTGGGAATGCACGAGGCATGAGCGGTGGCATACCGAGTGGTTTGAGGTGGAGCGGTCGCGGAGGGGGATCACACGGGTGTTCGAGGTGGTCAAGAAGTGGGCGGAACAGAGTGAGAAGATGATGGATGGGTGAGGAATGTGATATGATCCGATGATGATGATCTGCTTAGAACAGTGGTGGAACAGGTTTCAGGGGCTGGTTTAGGAAATGTCGAAGCTTAGTAAGACATACCTCGACCCTATCCCCGTGCGGGTACAGTTCCCTTCTTTCCTAATTGAGAAGAGCAGTCAGAGGGTGAAAGGAGGAAATCTATTAACACAAGTACGTCAGGGTTGGTAGAGAAACAAGTCTCAGGGGTACAGTCACGTGGTCCAGCAATTCTGATACCAGGGTGTTCCTTAGCGAAACATCTGAGTCACATGATAATTTCTTATACAAGGGAGTTCCCGAGTTGAATTTCAGAGCTCCGCAAACTGGCCTCTTTGTGACTTTGTCGACATTTATTCAACTGAACTACTCAATCCCTACAGCATCCAAACTACTCCTCAAATAAATGCCACCACGCAGCAGTGCTGAAAACTGTATGCCTTTGCTCTAACACAAACGTCGAACACCCTCAACGCCACACCCTCATCGCCCATCGAACCATTCCCTAACCATGGACTCATCCGACACCTTCACTCTCCTCCCCCTCCACCTCGACCCCGCCACCAAAGCCATCTCATACCAAGGCACCCCCACCACCGCCCTCACCACCGAACTCACCGCCCTCAACGACCTCCACCGCTCCCTCCTCACCCTCGACACCCCCAACGGCATCCCCCCACCCCCGGTCCCCGTCAACCCCAAACGCACCGCCCAAATCAACAAGCTCCGCGAATCCGGCAACGACGCCCTCCGCAAAGGCAAGCCGGCCGATGCGCTCGGACTGTATACGCTCGCGCTGAAGATGGCAGCGCAGCGGCCGCCGTGGGAGCCGGCGGGGCTGGTACGCGAGGAGCTGGCGCAGCTGTATGGGAACCGGGCACAGGCATATATGGCGGGCCAGGGGTGGGCAGAGGGGGCGGTAGATGCGAAGTGCAGTGTGGAGTTGAAGAAGGTAGGGAACGCGAAAGCGTGGTGGAGGCGGGGGAGGTGTTTGGTGGAGATGGGGAGGTTGGAGGAAGCGAGGGAATGGGTGGGAGAGGGGTTGGAGTTTGAGGCGGGGGAGCAGGATTTGGTGGGGTTGCTGAAGGAGGTGGAGGTGTTGATTGAGAAGCGGAAGACGTGGAGTGGGTGATAGGGGGTTAGTTGGCATGGTTTGGCGTTGGAGGTGTCTTGATGGGACATCAATATTTGGAACTTCAACTGTGGTGTTTACGGTTGTTATTGTCGATGCGGTCTGTACTGGCAGCATGATAGAGACATGCAATACTTTCAATTGGCATGTTCTTCAAGATTGGCGACATCTAGGCATGACAGCCAATGTTGCGGTTGGAAGAAAGGGGAAGAAAGGGGATCGATGACCAGGTCCCCGGAATACATTTATTCCAAATCCAGCCAAGTCATCATACACGAAAATATACAACCCCTTATTTGGATTTGCGCGGTATCGCACCACTGACATAATCACAATAATGGAGCCGTTGGCAGGCCGTAAGCCATAATGCTTACGGCCGGATATTGGAAGCGCTGTCTGGGTGGATACTGGATTCTGCCTCCTTTGTAGACCAGCCTTTTCAAGTCCTTTTTGTCCAAATACCACAGTACCGGTCCCTCCACTGAGTCGAGTCTGCTTTGAAAGTTCTCATGATATTTAGTGACCGGCGTCCAATTGTCTTGACAACATTCTCTCCTGGCTGTGGCGCATGCAGTGGGAAATCTATTCTTAGTCATATTAGCATAACGTTTGATGGATACCAGTAACGACCCTTGCTTCATTGCGGGACCGGGTGTTCCATAGTCTCCTCCGCCCCCAACCAGCTTCGCCAAACGCCAGTGATCAGCAGGAGAGACAACCGAATGCTCCGTGGCGCTGTCGTCTCCATCATGGCGCAGACCCAAACAGTGAAAAGCCGCCTTGAATTCCTGCACACTTGGGCAGAACCGCCTCTGATCCAGCTGAGCCTCGTGTCTGACCGACGGTGAACTCCTCACATCTTGGTCATGAATCTTTCTTTTTTAGTGCCGCTTGACTCTTGATTGCTTCGTTTCGCTGTTCGCTGTTCGCTGTTTGCGTTATATACCCTCATTTGGTCCGTGTACGACCCGCGAAGATTGCGTTGTGTTGGTGTTACCGCTTCACGAATCTCGATCGATATTCCCTTCCCATTGACATCTACAGACGCATCGAGCACGATATATACCAGGTGACAGGATGAAGTTACAGCAGTCGAAGATTCAGAAGGGGAAGGTTGCGGTGCACATAGCGCAGGGGATCTTCATCTTCGTCGCGGCGATTTTGACTATTGCCGTCCTTACCAAGGCCGACACTGATGGACGGACTGCATATTACTTCGCGATGGTAAGAGGGATCCTCTTTAACGATTCCCGGGGCCACAGTCTAACAGATTGCAGTGTTTCGTGACCATTCCTGCTTTAATCTACCTTGCGATGACGCCGATGTGGACACGAGCTATAAAATTCGCGAACCCATATGCTTTCGTGGTTCTAGATGCTTTGTTAATGGTACCACGCCTGATGTGGAGCGAGTATCGCCCGAGAACCGTTAGCTGACACCGTATTAGGTCCTCTGGTTTGCAGCCGCGATTGCCGTGGGAACATGGAACACCGCAGGCATCAAGAAAGGCGTAGATGATAATAAGGAGAAGGACGATAAGGACAAGAAGGACTCGAAGATGGGCTGTGCCGCCTTCGCGTTTGGGGAACCTGTCGCCTGTAACGTAAGCAAGGCTGCTGTTGGCTTCGGTGTCGTGATATTGTAAGTTGCCTTCTATCGGACGGGTCCGTTGAGCGAAGCTAATGTTTGGCCCTCAGCCTTATGTTCATCCTCACCACCGCCATTTCCGTCCAGATCATAATCAAGTACCGCCAAACTGGCGACCTCCAAACCGCTATGGGAACCCAACCCGGCAACCCAGCCTCCCAATCCATCGAAGCGCAGACCACCGACGCCTGGTCCTCCGATACTCACGATCTACGCGGCGACACTCCCGGGTACCACCGCGACGGCTCATTCTCCGACGACGGAACGCGGACGGAGCGCGGCGGAGGCCAGGAGGAGGACGAATATCAGCTGTTGCATGCCACGGAGACGGACGACGGCCCGCATCCGGGGCAGTATCGGAATTGGGGGAATCCGCAGGACAAGACGGGAGCGTCTGCGCAGCCTGCGCCGCCGTATGATGATACGGAGTATAGCAACCCGAGCGCGCTGAGTCCTGGGGGTTATGAAGGGACGTATGGAGGGGGAGGGAGCTATGATGAATATAGGGGACAGGCGAGGAATTACAATTTCTCGGGTGAAAGATGAAGCGGGACGGTCATCTTTGTAGTTTCCATGGCTTAGAGGGAATATATTGGGATATGGTACGGCGTTTTGGATTTGAATCACATTAGTGGCTTGTGTCTAAGAATATGTCTAATACCCAGTGTGCTCAATACATTGATTGAGTACTCTTTGTAGTCGCATTTAACCTTGCGTTCAAATCTATAAACATGTTCACGCCTCCTGGGGTATCTCGCATTACAATTGTATTTCTGCACCAGTCTAGAAATTCGCCGCGTAGAACTGGGGAAGGTAGAACTTTGTGTTCTCATACACCAGGAAAGTCACACACGTCGAAGGAAGAACGCGGATGATGTTGGGTGCTAACCTGTGACAAGTCGTTAGTTCAGACTCATGGCCCGCTGAGAGAAGTCTTACCCTTTGTAGAACCCCCTCACCCCCTCCTTTCTCCAAATCTGAAAAACAAGATCCGATGCAGACCGATAGTGTTGCGTCGCCTCATACGTCTGCAGCCTCGAGCGCACCACCTGATACGGATACGTGACGCTCCCCGCTAGCATCTTCGACAAGGCGCTCAGCGTCAAGAAGTCCCAGTTACTGAGATGCGCGCCAGGCTTCTGTGCACGGCGATGGTTCTTCAGCTGCTCGTACGCGACGAATTGGATGGCACCGTGGGACACGCCGAAGAGAGAGGGGATCAGGCCGCGGTAGAAGCCGAGGATGCCTTCGTTGCGCATGATCTGGACGGTGCCGTGGAGGACGCCGCGGTAGGCACCAGGGGCGTCGCGGCCCGAGGAGAGCATGCGGGTTTTGATCACCCAGATAGGGTTGGTGCAGATGGCGGTTAGGACACCTGAGGAAGTCAATACAGTCGCAGAGGCGGATGCGAGGGGTAAATCAAACCTGATGTACCGGACGCAGCAAAATACTCCGCCGAGGAGAGTTTGCGATCGCCGCCTCTGTATTTTCGGAAGGCATCTTTGAGGTCGCTGTACCTGTTCAATATGTTAGATGGAATCCTAGCGCTGACGATGTCGAGACGTACCAGAAGAAATATAATCCCCAGCTGGTGGAATTACCGATCATATTCGGCATCAGGCCGCGATACAGTCCCCGGTAATTCCCTTCATTTTGAACAATACTCCGCAATATCCGCCATGAGCTGCCAAACTCCAGCCGCGTGGCTTGGTTAACTGGGGTGGAGTCAGTTATTTATTCATTCACCATGATCCCCGTCACCAATACTCACGCTGCAGTCGCGTCTTCAGCACATCAAATGGATGCACCGCCAAAGTAGCGACGACGCCCGCCGTAAACCCCGCGATGCTCTCGACCAAGGAAGGGGAAATATCGACGTCCGATGCCCGGCCCTCAATCGGAGGCACGACTCGGGGCATGGTGCGGGGCGTTATCTGTCCCGGAATTTCATCCTGCTGCAGACCGGATCCCATATAAGGCCGAGAACCGCTGGGGAAATCAACTGTCTCCGTGGCCTTTGTGTGTCCCGGGTTGGTGGTTGGCTGGCGGGGGGAGGTTAAAGGTGGTGTCACGATGTCTCGGAGGTCTTTCATCTGCACGGGATATCTGGGACAAAGATATTGGTCCAGAGGTACTGCTTCGAAAAGCCACCAACACATTATCCACGTGATTTATCCATCTTGTCCATCTGCTCGTTCGTACGGTACATGTATAAGTATGCTTTATACTGGGTGTTTATAAGAGAATTCGTTGTAACCGACTTTGTATTTCCCTCAGCTTGAATTCCCACATTTCCGCCACTATCAGACGGCCAGGCTAGCTCTGGACTCTGGTGTTGAATCATGACTGATGAGTGTCACCACAAGCTACCTGCTAACCTACACTATTGTTAGTGCTCATGCTAGAATATGATCAATAATAATCTATAAAAGGGCACTGTCCGAACTTCAATGGCTCAGTCTTCTATTGCGATCCTTGATGCTGGTTGAGAGCCTTGGGGTCACAAGTCATGAGCAGTGAATTTTATATCAAGAGATGGTAGCTTTTCTGCGGTTCATATATACAATGCTGCTTATTCTGCTATAAAACACATCGATCCAATCCAGAAAATGACCGTCTGGATTGCTGAACGCCAACCAACGCCGTTCCCACATGAATGCATTGCTCGGATCCATGCTTCTAATGCTCGCTTCTATGACTCCCATGGCCATGACCATCCTTCTTAAGGAACAGTTGTTCATAGGCTAGGTAGATGAGGAATGCACCAGTGCCGACGTAGAGGCCTGGAAATGAGCCCTTCAGGCGGTTTGCTCGGGTAAAGGGACCGGTATAACGCCATGCCTCTCTGCACACATGTGAGCGACCGAGCGCAATTGTTGGATTAGACATTCGCTGTGGCTTACACTCTTCTCCATGGATCATATGGAGGCCGGCCGGTTGCAGCCTGGAGTTTCCGGATGTCGAAGCCGGAGATGTTTGGTTTTTGGGTCATGGTGAAGCGGACGGTCCTGGCAAGAATCGTGTTAGAACCGGTGCGGTTACATGAAGATGCAACAGGAGATGGACATACGGTTCAATACGGCTAGACTTTAGCTATTTGACCTGCATGCGCCGACGCAATGCGAGAATTGAAGGGAATCGGAAGCGGGGATCAATCGTGAATGGGAATGAATGGTGTGAAGTTGGACCTCGAAGCTCACATCACCTCAAGACAAGTCAATCGCTCACAGCTGCAGAACGAGAAAGGCACCAAGGCACCAAGGCACCAATCTAGACTGGTCTTGGCACTCCCTGTCGCTGGACCTGAGGTGAAATCCGACATCGTTCTGATACATGCTGTTGTATGTAGTAAACCAACATCCATAAGACGAACGATACTGTCCGGTATCTTTGAATTGTGGTCCCTAAATACCTTGGAACGGAACCCTTGGACTTGACACTTTGCGCTATCGCTGCCGCCGAATCCTCATTCACCTCGAGTTCCGACAACAGCAACACAACCATCCGGTTCCACGATCCAACTGCCGCAACCAAGAACAGCCAGCAAACTTGTACGCATGAAACCGTTGCTGTTAATCGAACCAGACATAGCCTTTCACGATGCCTCCTAACGGTGGGAGGTTTGCTCCCCAGACCCTCTCGAACCCATTCGCCCACATCAACCAGCATCCCCTCCACCAGCAGTCCCATCTCCAACACCCCAATGCAAATCTGCCCGGGCAAGGCCTTGGGAACCAGTTTCCTACCGGACAATTCGGATCGAATAATCCTGGAGCATTCGGTCCTTCAAATCCGGCCGCATCAATACATGGCGCGTTCGGTGCTGGTCCCGCTTTAGGGGGAGGGTTGGCCGGCCACGCTGGGCAGAGAGCATTCGCGAACAAAGCGGCACTTCATCCACAACAGCAGGTCCACGATCCGTCAGTACCAGTGGTTTCGGCATCGAAAGGGCCGAACGGGAGGATACGAGAAGTGTGGAGGAGCAATCTGGCGCAAGAGATGACATTAATACGGTCCATCGCAGACAAGTATCCTTATATCAGCATGGTTAGTCTTCAGGTCGAAGAGACTTGCCATGGCCATTCATTGACGCTGGATCTAGAGCACGGAATTCCCTGGTATTGTTGCTCGCCCGATGGGGAATTTCGCACACAAAGCCGAGTTCCATTACCAGACACTACGGTGTAATGTCGATCTCTTGAAAATGGTCCAGCTCGGAATTACCCTATTCAATGCCGACGGCGAAGTCCCTCCCGCCCACCCGGAAGCCACAACATTGCAACCCCCCGCCTATCTCAACAACCTCATGGTCACGCCCTGTACGTGGGTGTTCAACTTCCAGTTCTCGCTCGAGGAGGACATGTACGGCGAGAACTCGATCGCGCTTCTGAAAGCCGCAGGGGCCGACTTCGAAAAACATGCGGACATCGGTATTGACCCGCTAGAATTCGGTTCCCTCCTGATCACATCCGGACTGGTCCTTTCCGACGATGTGCATTGGATATCCTTCCACGGTGGCTACGACTTCGCGTACCTGATGAAGTTCATGTGGTGTCAAGCATTACCCAACGACGAGGAAAGTTTCCAGACGCTGGTGCAGAAGTATTTCCCGCAGTTGGTCGACGTCAAGTTCATCTACATGGACCTCAAAAAGCGGCACCAGGCTAATGTCCCCATGAACCCCGAAGCGGCCAGCATGATGAGCCGACTGAACGGCAAAGGTACCCTCCAAGACCTCGCCGACGAGCTCGGCTGCCAACGCTTCGGCTCGCCCCAAACCTGCGGGACGAACGCCTGGATGACCGGCAACATCTACTTCGCGCTGCGTAGCAAGATCTACGAAGGGCAGATCCCCGAGGAGTTTTACGGCCAGATGTGGGGCATTACCAGCGTGGGGAACCCGGCGTCTGCGACGATGCAGCAGGCCATCCTGGCGCTCCAGAGCGGGGGGGGGATGAACGGCACCAACGTCGGCGGCATGAACTTCCACTCCGGCACGCCGTCGCGCGACGGGGCGCCGAGTACGCCAACAACGAATCCGGCGGGGTTGGCGACGTCGACGCCCGGGCCGCAGGGCAGCCATCCGGGGATGGGGACGTTCACACCGGGAGCCGGAGGGATATTTGGGAACTTCCAGTACGGGAAGTAAATGGGCATGGACGGATCGGGAGCAAAGCCGGGTCATAGATCTTTCGTTTACGGTCGGGATGGATATGCTGGTTTCTTGATACCTTATTTGCGGCAGCTTGAGACGGTCTTCAAATGGGTCTTGGAAGCATGTCTCTCGGGATCTTGCTGAGGCGTTTGCTTTGAACTGCACCTGTAAGATATCATCATGCACTGGCGACCTGGTGGTACTCACGGCGTCTTACGGGACAGGACGTTTTCAATTTGATTGACCCTTCCATCTTCAAATGATACCCTAAGCGTTCGTTCCGTGTCTGATATACCCCAAAAAAGGGCCGATATTCCCTATTCCAGACAGTATAATATCAGATTTCTGAGGTAAGTACACTATATGTGTGCTCTATGGACTGCATCCCGAAAGTCCGAAACACTTGCAAGCCCCACAGCCCAAACCCCTGTCCATTCCGACGCTCCACCCAGCGAACTCGCACGACAACACCACCACAAGCTCCCTGATAACACACTCTCCCCTTACCCTTATCGGGACAAAATCTCCCCTTATCAACGCCAATGATGATCAATTGCATCGCGTGGAGGCGCCATTTGTCGAGCTTTCCTCGTGTTTTACTTAATCTCACGTTTCTCAACCCCCTCCATTTGGGTCCATGTGGAGGTCTAGCTCGATTTAGGTAGGTTGAGCCGGAGAGATGCGATCTGGCGAGGGTAAAATATGGCCATGGACCTCCGTCGCCGATCTGGATGCGTTGGAGTGAGCTTTATATCGGTCGAGAGTCGAGACCGCTTGGTATTGTGTCCGAGTATCGTGCGAGCGTTGTCGGCTCTCAGCATTCAGATCCGGAACTAGGTAAGGTTGTTGCCCTGGAGGATCTCAATATCCATATATACGTGTTGTCCCGTGTCTGTTTGGGTTCTTCAATTGTTCTTCTCGCTTTTCCACTTCATAGTCAATCCGTACATAGCCGCTTTGCACTCCATCATGGTTGTCGACCGCCTCAAGCAGGTGGCTTCCCACGTGTCGGGCCAGACCGGCCCTCCCCACCCTCTGGACCCGCTCTCCGAAGCGGAAATTGCCCAAGCCGTCGCGATCGTGAGAAAGGAACATTCGGGGCTCTTCTTCAATGCCGTCACATTGTGGGAGCCCCGGAAGGCCCAGATGTTGGCATGGTTGGCGGATCCGAAAACGGCACCACGGCCGGTTCGCACGGCGGATATCGTGGCCCTGGGGCTGGGAAGTAAGGTGTACGATGGGACTGTGGACTTGGAGGCGGAGAAGATTGTGAGCTGGAAGTTGACGGAGAATGTTCAGCCGTTGGTAAGTGGGCTCGTCTGGTTGAATCGGATTTGGCTCATGGATGATAGATTACGATGGAAGACCTCCAGGTGGTGGAAGCAATCGTGAGGAAAGACCCTCGAGTGATCGAACAATGCGGCATCATCGGTATTCCACCGGAGGATATGCATAAGGTCTACTGCGATCGTAAGTCTCCCAGGGAGTACGGATAGACATTGTACTAAAACGGCCCTAGCATGGACGATCGGCTACGATGAGCGATTCGGGAACAAAATCCGGTTGCAGCAAGCCTTCGTTTACTATCGACCAAATCCAGATGACTGCCAGTATACATATCCGCTGGATTTCCTTCCCATCTTCAATACCGAGACACATGAGATCATTCACATCGACATTCCTCCGGTCAGAAGACCACTGAATAAAGCCCCTCCGATCAACTACCACGCCGAAGCCATTGAAAAGGAGGGCGGTTTCCGCGACGACCTGAAACCGATCAACATTACCCAGCCGGAAGGTGTCTCCTTCAAGGTGGACGGCCGAATCATTGACTGGCAGAAGTGGAAGGTTCACATCGGGTTCAACTATCGTGAGGGTCTCGTGCTGAGCAACATCACATTCAACGACAAGGGCACGGAAAGACCAGTATTCTGGAGATTGTCGTTGGCGGAGATGGTCGTTCCGTACGGTAACCCCGAGCATCCGCATCCCCGAAAGCACGCTTTCGATCTCGGAGAGTACGGTGCTGGATACATGACGAATAGCTTGACACTCGGATGTGACTGCAAAGGGGCAATCCATTACATGGATGCTGCCTTCGTGAACCGAGCCGGCGAGGCGACCTCCATCAAGAATGCCATCTGCATACACGAAGAGGATGCCGGGATTCTGTTCAAGCACACTGATTTCCGCGACGAATCCTGCACGGTGACCCGTGCCCGCAAGCTCGTCATCTCCCAGATTTTCACCGCCGCCAACTACGAGTACTGCGTCTACTGGATCTTCCACCAAGACGGCACCATCCAGCTGGAGGTTAAACTCACCGGCATCCTCAACACCTACCCTATGAACCCGGGCGAGGACCTGCATGGCTGGGGCACCGAGGTCTACCCCGGCGTCAACGCTCACAACCACCAGCATCTCTTCTGCATGCGCGTCGACCCCAACGTCGATGGGCCGAACAACACCGTATTCGAGGTCGACGCAACCCGTGGGCCCGGCGAAGTCGGCAGCCAGGAGAACTATCACGGCAATGCGTTCTACGCGAAGAAGACGAAGCTCGCAACGGCCGGCGAATCGAAGCGCGAGTACGACGGGTCAACCAGCCGGACCTGGGAAATGGTCAACCCCAACAAGATCAACCCCTACAGTCACAAGCCTGTGAGCTACAAGCTCGTCAGTCGTGAAGTACCCGGTCTCCTACCGAAAGAAGGCGGCCTCGTCTGGCGACGCGCCGGTTTCGCCCGCCACGCCATCCACGTCACCAAATGTAAGATTCCAGCCCGTATCCCCAATCCTCCAACTAAACCCCCCAGACTCCGACGACCAAATCCACCCCGCCGGCCGCCACGTCCCCCAAACCTCCGGCACCCCCAGCCACGGCCTTCCCGCCTGGATCGCCGCCAACCCCGCCGAGAACATCGACAACACTGACATCGTGCTGTGGCACACGTTCGGGCTGACGCACTTCCCCGCGCCCGAGGACTTCCCCATCATGCCCGCCGAGCCGATGACGCTGCTGCTGCGCCCGCGGAACTTCTTCACGAGCAACCCATGCATGGATATCCGGCCGAGCCATTCGAGCACGCCGACAGCGGTGGCGAAGGGGCAGGCGGTAGCGGTGGGGGATCCGGCGAGTCGGTTGGTGGGGGGTGGGGAGTGCTGTGCAAAGTGAGGATGGGGGTCGTAGGATATCTGACTGCAGGCCTTTTCTAATCGACGGCCATTGTTCTGGCGTTGGTGAAAATCTACTTGCAGAACTTTTGGATATACGGATGATGATGACTATTAGTATGAAACGAATGGAATTTCTACGCTCTTGATGCGAAATGCAAACGAATACCGTACAGGGGTTGTGAGTTGTAACTTTTGGCCATCGGAACTTCACTGAATACGTACCGCCCCTGTGGGGTAGTGATATGTCGAGCTCCATTCCAGAAAAGGAAATGTACCCGCCAAATATCATCATCATATCAACAGAAACCCCAACAAGAATTCGATGATCCCTGCATTTGACAATTCTACAGATCCAGACTCGGCTTTCTTAACACAAATCTAAAAGTCTCATTTTCGCAAGGATGCAACACGATCCACAGATCCGTACGTGTTTTCGCTGGTAGTCGGACCCGATCGTGCTAATCCAGCCTCACAGCGCCGTACACCACGGCCGATAAGACGTCGTTCGCACACACATCTGCCGAAGCCCGGTGGCCTGTGATTCTGGTACTACTTCCTAATTTTTAAGTAATACCATAATCTAACTTGATGGCAGACGGGAGCCATCGACGACGTTCACCGTGCAACATGGAAGACTGACGATGACGAGAAGCTAAAAGAAGGGAAGAAGATCATCGAGGAGCTGGCGAAGCTGAAATATGAGCTGCAGCATAACCGGCAACTGACGTGAGGGATCTTCGATTTACTGTTGTTTGAAGTGTGAGGCTGATGTTCGTAGGCCGGTTCCGGACGATGGGGAAGGGGATGTCAAGTCCTATAACGTCGAGCTCGAGAAACGAGGTTCGCCAACGTGGTTCGACGTCTCTTGGTTGTATTCGGAATGCTATCTCTACAGGTAACGCAGCCCAGACCACCACAAGAGGCACCGGAAATACTTACGATGGCAGGCGAGTCAACACATTGTTCTCAATGTCCAAGCACTGGAAGAGCTACGATATTTTCGAAAACCAGAAGATGTCTACCTTTAAATCATCGCGTCCGGCTGTACTGGAGCTGGCATCTCGATACAAGGATCTGATCCATGAGATCAAAACCGCTAATGATCACGAGTCGACAAAGTCCCCCCAGGAAATCGAAGCTGCGGAGGAGATCCTCTTCATGGAGATGTGTGAGATATGCCTATGGGGCAACGCAACCGACTTGTCCCTCCTCACCACCCTATCGTACGAGGACATCCAGAAACTCCAAGGCTCCTCAGCGCGCAAAGCCGCCGAGAAAAACATCATCGCGAACGACCTACCCGCCGCCTTCGCGGCGCTGAAAGCCGTGCAGAAGAACGGCCACCCGCACCGCCGCGTCGACATCATCCTCGACAACGCCGGCTTCGAGCTCTTCGTCGACCTCTTCCTCGCCGGCTACCTCCTCGCCTCCGGGTTGGCCACCACCGTCGTCCTTCACCCCAAGTCGATCCCCTGGTTCGTCTCTGACGTGGTCCCGAAGGACTTCGGCGACCTGCTCGGCTTCCTCGCGGATCCGAGGGCGTTCTACGAGACGTTGTCGGAGGACGAGAAGCATGCGGGGAAGACGCCGGAGCCGTTGTCCGATGGGGATGCGGAGAACCTGGCGTTCTTATTTGAGAGTTGGAGGGGCTTTCATGCGGAGGGGCAGTTGGTGATTCGGCCGAATCGGTTCTGGACGATGGCGGGGAGCTTCTGGCGGATGCCGGGGACTGCGTCTGAGCTATTTGAGGATCTGCAGGAGAGCGAGTTGGTGGTGTACAAGGGCGATCTCAACTACCGGAAGTTGACCGGCGATGTAAGATCAAAACCTATGTGTTGATTCTATTGACTGACAATGTCTTGCAGGTGATGTGGGATCCGACGACACCGTTCGTCGAGGCCGTCGGACCGCTGGGAAAAGGCTCAGGCATGAGGACCCTGGCGTTGCGAACGTGCAAGGCGGATGTGGTGGTGGGGTTGAAGAAGGGAGAAGATGAGCGGCTTCGGGCTACGGAGGGTGGAGGGGGAGACTCAGGTGCGCGGAAGTGGGCGTGGAGTGGAAAGTGGGCGGTGGTTCAGTTCTGCGATGGCAAGCAGAAAGCCGCATAAGTAGGAGTATTGCCTGTGGGAACGAATAGAATTGACTATGGATAGAGGGATGTTTCCATACCGATAAGTAAATATTCGAAGCGACTCACCACTGGATTGATGGCTGATCTGCACTGTGATATCGCTTAGAACAAGTAAATTTCTTAAGGCAGGTATTCTTGGCTCACGACGCCCACTTCGTCATTGGATATGCTCAGTCCCGTCCTCAAGTTACCAATAACGATAGAGCCAGATCCTATACTTTCACGGGGTGTGTGCTTTACGTCTCCAGGATCTGCGTTGGCTAATGATGCCTCTTCCCAGTCGCTTTCGACCCCGACATTGTCACCACGCAAGGCCGCCATCTTCTCCCCCACCCCAATACCCTAACCCATCTACTTCCCGCGACGGGATTACCACTCACGCTGGAGGAAGTGTTGCAACTTGCGGTGTTTCAGCATGCGGCTTGAGTTTAAAGTACGGTGAAGAGGATGCTAGGGAATGGCTGCACCGTTATACTTCCCCCCATATTCGACAGAAATGGATCGACAAACACAACACAGCTGTAGCTGCGTTGGACTATTCGTCTGTATCATCGGGCTATTCACCGACACGCAGTCTGGAGCCCACGCGGCGTGGCCATCGCAACCATATTTCGCCCTCAACTCTAGGCGGTGACATTACGGATTCCAGCAATAAGTCCAAGTCGGAATTCACAAGACAACGGCCAGAGGAGGATCTTCTCCCAGCGCCGGGGCTGAGAGACGCCTTAACGACCTTGCGGGGGGTATAAACCGCAAGGTGTCTATCAATAAGGCGCGGCACAACTCACAAGGCACCAGGCTGATCGGAGGAAAATGTCAACGGCACCAATGGGCATATGAGGGAACCCGCGTCATAATAGAAGAGACGGCGCAGAGACCCAAACAAGGACCGCGATTGCCGACCAGCAAGTAAGCGGGAGCATGGTTGGAGTACGGCATTTGGCTCGCTTCAAGAAGCTGATGGTTGGTTCTGAAACTACTGATAGTAAATGCGGGGTTCCCCCGTCTCGTATGGGAGGGAAAGTAAAAGGCGATAAGACTCACAAGAGACCGTCGAGCATCGACTTTAATTTCTATAGTTGCGCGTTGTTAAGGATAAAGATAAAGTGCTTACCATTTTGTAGTTATTTATTATGGAGTTATCTGGATATCAGTTCCAATTCAAGCCTTATAGCCTGAGGCATCAAATCCAAAATCGAAAGGTCCAGAAGGTTCGATGATCTCAACAGCTGATTGGGCGGAAGGTGTCTGACGTAACCGAACAATACGCTTCCGGTTGTGTCGCTCATTGTGGGAGAAGCTGTTCTATCACCAGTTCACCACATTAATGCCATATTCCTGTCGGTAATAAAGAACAATCAATCCTATCTCATCAGGCTTGTTTACTCCTCTCTTCCATTTCCCTCCATTCTTTCTAGGAGCTTCCAAATCTGCCTCCCCCGCGGGACTCCATCTCGCGCTATCACCACCACCCCACCATCACAAACTTGCACCGTCTGCCATTGCCACGCCATATATCTTTCCCTCTCGCCTTTCCTTAACTTGGCTACCACTCTTGAACCACTCCAGATTCTCGGACCATTGGGTCCATTTCATTAATTCACCATGGTTGCCGAAACAAAACTATACGATCATTTGAGTATGCCCCCCGCTTTTCATATATGGCCTGGTCACTCGTCTGATCAATGGAGCGTGGCTGCTGTCTCACTTTTCAGAAGAGCTACTTGTCAAAGACCAAGCTGACCAGTTCGTTTGCAGGTATCAAACCCGACGCCTCTCAAGATGACATCAAGAAAGCCTACCGAAAGGCCGCCCTGAAATACCATCCCGATAAGAACAAAGACAACCCCAGCGCCGGCGAGAAGTTCAAAGGTCCGTCCTCTCTCTCATCTCACGCCTCCTCATTGCAATTGCTAACCCTGTGAACCGCAGAGGTCTCCCAAGCCTACGAAATCCTCTCCGACCCCGAAAAGCGCAAAACCTACGACCAATACGGCCTTGAATTCATCCTTCGCGGCGGCGTCCCACCCCCCGAAGGCGCCGAGGCAGGAGGCATGCCCTTCGAAGGCGGCGCCGGCGGTTTCCCAGGCGGTTTCGGCGGGGGCGGGATGCCCGGCGGGGCGCGCACCTTCCACTTCAACACGGGCGGCGGCGCCGGGGCTGGGGCGGGCGGGTTCAACTTCTCGAACCCGGAGAACATCTTTGCGGAATTTGTGCGGGGCGGAGCGGGAACGCGGGGGGGAATGGGGGACGAGGATGATTTCTTCCAGGCGTTCATGGCGGGGGCGGGGGGGAAGCCGGGGCGCGGAGGGCAACGGGGGGCGAGTCGGTTCGGGGGGGTGGGGGGCGGGGGGGCCGCGGAGGGGGGGGGGGGGGGGGGGGGGGGGGGGGGGGGGGGGGGGGGCGCCGACGAAGGCGCCGGCGCCGGAGGTGACGGTGTTGGAGAAGCCGTTGCCGGTGACGTTGGAGGAGATCTTCGGGGGGACGACGAAGAAGATGAAGATTAAGCGGAAGACGTACGATCAGGTGACGGGAAAGCAGAGCATTGAGGATCGGATCTTGGAGGTACCGATCAAACGGGGGTTGAAGCCCGGGAGCAAGATCAAGTTCTCGAACGTGGGCGATCAGACGGAGGGAGGGACGCAGGATCTGCATTTCATCGTGAAAGAGGTACGTTTCCCCCGCACATCCCCATTCCGCGCACTCCACTAACCCTCCCCCCCAGAAAGACCACATGCTCTTCAAGCGCGACGGCGACGACGTCCGCACCACCATCGACCTCGACCTCAAAGAATCCCTCCTCGGCTGGCGCCGCACCGTGTCCACTATCGACGGCAAGCAGGTGATTGTGCAGCACGGCGGGCCCACCCCGCCCACTTGGGAGACGCGGTATCCGGAGCTCGGCATGCCCAAGAGCAAGAAACCCACCGAGCGCGGCGACTTTGTGGTGGGCGTACGGATTAAGTTCCCGGCGAGTTTGACGGAGCAGCAGAAGGAGATTCTGCGGGATGTGCTGTAGATGGGTGGGGATTGGCTGAAACAGTTAAGCACGATCACGTCTGGTGGCGGATGTGCGGCGGCGGACTCCTTTCGCATTCCTGTGTTTCCGAGGTGGTTTTAATCGTTGCATCTGATGTGTATGGGTATACAAAGGCATATCGGTTGGTCAAGGCGGTCGAGCATTCTCACCGTTACAGAGGCGACTGAGGAATTGGGGATCAGCATAGGGGCGATGTGGCGAGGGCCAACGACATTAGATGATTTCATGGCAGCGATGGATTCTCCTTATCTATTCTACCACATACATCAGCAGGCGCATTTGGAACAGCACGAACGGAGCCCCAAAAAAGGGGACCTCGTTTCCGAGAGAACGGCGTTCGGGGAGGTGGTTTTTGAAGGCACCCTGGAAGGAAGATGCCACAGATGGCTTGGTATTATTTGGATTACTTTACTTTCTCTTCCTGTATCGTAGCTTGCTTTGTTTTGTGCAATGGCGGGCGGGACGTCTAGTCTAGCTCAATAGCATCGTCTGCACTCATCCCGGTTCCCGACGCGGGCCAGCTATTCGATGCCGGCGGCGGGTTGGCCTTGTTCGACACGTTTCTGAGGACCCGGTTGACGAACTGTCCTTGCGAAGCCGGCTGCGACGGCTGCTGATGATCTTCCGGAACTCTCTCCTTCCCCTTCCCATTCATATCCGCCGGGCGCGGCCTCAGCTCCTCCTCCTCCTCCTCCTCCTCCTCCTCCTTTGGCACAAACTTGCTCACCCGCCCATAATACTTCGGCAAGCTCCGCGGCGGCGACCCCGCATTGATCCCACCCGCCCCACTCGACGGCGACATGCTCGGCCCCGTATACCCCCCGCTCGACCCAGCGCTCGACCGCAGCCGCGCCGCCTCCTTCTCCCGCTCCTCGCGGAAGAACGCGATGCTGTCGTCCATCGCCTGAGTGACTGTGCGGACGCGCGCGAAGAGCGCCTCGTCGTCGGCGAGGACTTGTTGGAAGGGTTTGCGGGGGGGGGAGGGGGCGTGGGTGCCGGTTGGGGTGGGAGAAGGGTCGTCGTTGGCTTGGTCCCAGTTGCGTTTTCGGGAGGGGGGTTGGGCGACGAGGGAAGGGGGGATGCCGCGGGCTTTGAGGCGGAAGTAGTCGCTTTTGGTGGTGCTGGTGCGGTAGCTGGGTGTGAAGGTGCTGGAGCCGAGGGAGGCGTTGCGGAGGGGGGAAGGGATGGGGGGGTGGGTTGATGTGGTGGAGTTGGCGTGAGAAAAGTGGGCGGAGGGTTGGGTTTGGGACCGGCGGTGGTTGGTCGGTGGTCGAGATGAAGGGTTGACGCTGTTTTTCAGGATGCCTTTGAGCTGTGATGTGCTGCTTGCTTTTCCATTGATGGAGCCGGCGAGTCGCTCCTTATCCTTCCCCTCGGAGTGGACACCATGATCGCTTCGGTCGAGTTCGGGTTGTGATCGACGGAAACTATCGGCGAAGATGCTGCTTGCCAATGGTTCGCCGGTTGACCGCCTCATCCTTGCCTCCTTGATCCGGATCCTCCTCTCGTGCCCGCGTCTTCGATGTTTCAAACTGTAGGACAGGCGGTGCCAAATCGTGCCATATTTCTTTGCCAGCTTCCTGCTCCGGAATTCATCCGCCTCTTGACATAATTTCTCATCCTCCCATTCCATCATCGCGTTGGTAATCAGGGGTCCAGATATGAACTCGACAAACTGCCTCATGAACCCGTCTCGGCGGTTCAAGACCAACTCGTGTGCGAGATAATCATAAGTCTCAGATTTCCTCCTCTTTTTCGCTTCGACTACTTGTTGCTTTGCTGCTTCTTCAGCCTTCCGTCGATCTTCGATCTGACGTAACACCTCCGCCTTGCGCAATTCCTCTTGTCGGCGCTGTTCCTCGAGTCGTTTTTGTTCCGCCGCTCGCTGCTGCTCTGCAATTCTCTGCTGCTCGACAATTCTCTGCTGTTCCGCGATCCGTTGCTGTCCAGCTGCCTTTTGTTGAGCAGCCAAATCATCCTGTCCGGTTTGAGCGGCGACTTGAGGTGGAGTAGGATTCTGCGATTGCTGTTGACTGCCGCCGCTGAATTGAAACGACCCTGACGATGATGGAGCCTGGGCTGATGTCGAGAAGATAGACTGGTTCGTTCCCGTCGATTTCGAGATGCCGTTTGCTGCATTTGGGCTCGCTGGTTTCGGGGCGAAAGGACTCGTAGATTGATTGGCACTCGTTTTCGGAGGGTTGAAACCCGACGGGGCGCCGAACGCCAATGGTGACGATTTATTGGTACTTGAATCTGGAGGATTTCGCTGTGGGGGGGGGAACATTTGCGAATTGGGGCTTCCGAAAAAGGACCCTGACCCTGAAGGTGACGGTTGTGGTTTGCCGAAGGCGCTCGTAAACGGTTGAGGAGAATTAAACACCCCATTCAGGCCAGAGTTTTGAGGAATCGCTGGAGGTTGACCTCCGCCGGTGAATATTCCAGGGGATGATTTCGGTTCGAATGCCGATGCCCCTGAATTCAAGAACCCTGTGGCTGCCTCCTTCTCTTTCGCCTTCCCTTCCGGATCCTTGACAAAGAGCGAATTGCCGTCGTCTTCCATGAACTCATCCCTTTCATGCTCCCCCTCTTCCGAATCCACAAGTGAATCGACCTCTCCCTTGTCACGCGCTACCTTGACGCTCAGCCCATAAATGACGGCGGTGAGCGTACGCCCTATTCTTTTTTTTTCAACCAATCGAACAGACTTCCTCTGATCTCGCATCCCCCCGGTTGGACTAGGGAAAACCTTCCCTGGCACCGATGCCAAGTCAATAAACCGCTTTCCATCCGCCCTCTGTCCAACAACAAATCCATATCCTTCGCAGAATTGCACAACTTCCCCCTCTTTATCAAATCCTAAGGCACCTTCCAGGTCCTCAACAATCCAATCCTCTATTTTTCTGGGTCCTCCTGGTCGGTATGACTTCCAGATGGTACGAAGAGCGGCCTCTCGAATCATGCCGAAGAATATCTCAGCGACACACGCCATGAGGTAGGACGTTCGAGGTGACGCAACTAAGTTCCAGAAGCGACCCCAGGAGCCTTGTGACGTCAGGTGACGCGACTTGGGTTCAAGGGGACCTTGTAGGTTATGAACATTGGATGCTGCGTGGTACAGCTTCAACGCTTGTTGCACTCGACGGTCCATTAAAATATCGCTTGGCCAAGACTGTACTCGATCCTCCAAATCTGGAATGCGAGCTTGTAGCTGAAAGATGATGCAGTATGCCCGGAATTCGGCTTCGTTCGGCGACCTATATCGTTCTCGATTATCATCGTAGTACTGCATTAGTGAGAGAAGAGTCCGGTCCAGTTGCTGCCGTTCTTGGAAGGAATCGTATTGATCGTAAGGCTTCTCAGCGAGCGCAAACTGGTGCAAAGACAAGATGTGGAATCGTGCGATTTCTTCGTAGCATTCGATGGCAATACGGACATCCGGGATTTTCGTAAGTTGTTGGATCGAGAAATCGTTTCGGATTGCACGCGTTCGATCCCAAAGGAAATGGTGGACCGATGCGAGGGTATCTGACTCCGCAATGAGATCGGAGAACAGGTACCTGACCGTTTTCTTGGACATGTCAGCTGCGAAGTATCTCTGGCAGCATGAATTCATACCTGAAGGGTCGTGGGTGGGCGCAAATCGGAGGGAAGTTGTTCATCCATGCCGGCAGCAGCACGTCGAAATTTCTTGACCATCTTATGCTCCGCCGGCACAGGCTTGAGGGTCCCGTCCGCTTCCTGGAGTTCCTAGAAAGCCAAATTAATTCATCCTTGAAATCGAAACACCAAATACACTATATACTCAGCCGGTGATTGGGTATCGTACCGTTTCGGCGCCCCAAACATCCTTCTCCACGATTCGTTGTACTCGTTCGTATTCGGGACACATGTCCGGACAGTTGCCCACAGGCTTGATCGCTTCGGATAGGAGTCGGGGTTTGTCCGGATCGGCAATGAGACCGGATTTGATGCCCTCCTCTCGTTCATGTTCGCGCTTCCGCTTGAGCTAAATAGCCGAGTATCGAGTTAGTTTCCAGTCGTGTTTCGGCCTTTCGGTTTGGCGCGCATTGTCACCAGCTGAGAAAGATGATTACTGACCGTCACATATTTCTGCGGATAAGACATTGACGCATGTAGTGTTGTAGGTGCCGTAGGCGCAACAGTTCTTGGTTGTGGTTGTTGGACGCCGTCGCGTCCTCGTCGCGCTCGCTGTGCAGTACCTCCGCGCGCTGGTCTTGCATTGTTGTTGCCCTCCGCGAACCGGACTCGTCGCGCTTCGAGACGGGATTTGGATTCATCGTCGCTTGCTGGCGTGGCGGCGCGACCATTCCTAAGCGTTCCTCCACCGCGTCCCCTTCCCCGTCCGCGGGAGCTCCCATCTCCTCCGCCGCCGCCCCGTCGAGGCGTCGACATGTTTGCGGTGGACTCAATGCATGTAAAAGATCGTTCGAAGAGGTGTGTTCGAGTACAAAGGTGCGAGTCGAGATAATATCGGCAGGGTAAGTCGAGGAGCTGTGGATGTCCGGATGCCGCGTTGAGAAGAGGGTGAATGGAATACCACCTAAGGGACAAAGAACGGGGATATCGCAAAAGGAATCAAACGGAAGTAGTGGAGAAGTGGAAGGGCTATATCGAAGTTCCTGCAACCAGCGACAGAAATATGATGAGTGTGAAAGCAGGAATGTGAAGGGGTATCTAAGTGAATGTGAGAGAGTCAGTCCAGATATTGGAGAGTTCGACTCAGTGAAGTGAGAGACTCCAAGAGAGGGAGACGTGACGTCTGGGCGTTGGCGTGTCGGAGCCAATCAGAGGCTCCAGTTCATTTCCATGTCGACAATAATTATTAGATGCCTTAGGACACAAGGCCTCAATATTTATTAACAGTCAACAGAACTCATTGATTGTGATTCAAATCAAGGAAGTTTCTCTTGTTCTATTCATTCAATCCAATTCACGTCAGTTCTGTTTATTGTCACAATAGTCCATGTCCAGCTATTCAAGCTTCTGGTCCCGCAGAACTGTATGGTGCTTTTCGTCCATTGTTCTTCGAGCACCTCTTACAAGCACCATTGCTATGGACGACATATTTCACCACAGTACCATAGGGGACGTTCACCGATGCAGACACATTTGTTGATCGTGAAATTGTTCTGTTTGTTCCAGAATCAGGAAAACTAATTACGGAGGCACCTAAGGTATGCAGGTCACATGGGAGCTCAGTGGCCACAATTAACCTCATCCCCTCCCACCGCCGGTGCGCTGAATTCGCTCTCGCAAGCAATCAAGAGCCTAGCAGCTCGTCATCTAGACGTCTTTGTATAATTGTCGACGCCGTGTGATGCAAAACAGTCTCTCCGTGACATCCCCTTCCATGTCGAAAAGAGTTCTTTAATTTAAATAAAAAAAACGCAAATGCAACCGACACCCGCTATGCAAACCGGCAGGCTCCGGCGTGGGGCGCAGCGGAGATGTGAACAGCAATGCTAAAGAGCAAAAATCAGAGACGGAGTGAATCAAGAGCCGGAAGGGCCGCGGAGGGCTGCACTTTCAGGGACCAAAATGTCGGCTGAAACTCAATGCATGCATCGCTCGCGGAAAGTAAGTCATACTGCTGTATTATACCAGAAATACACAAATTGTTCGAGGTCGTGAAAGTCGTGATGGGCCGTGGCGTAAGGAAATTCGATATGATACAGCTCGAGGGAGAGTGTCGTGTCGCGTCGCGTCGTGTATCGTGGCGTAGCGAAGAATGAACCTGTGGAAAGGCAGCAACCTCTTTGGTGATCGAGGCGAGTGTAGTCAACCAGTAGAGACAGGACGTGGATGGGATTCCAAAGACTCAGGAGTAATAGGAAGCCGAACCACCAACAATACCGCCGCAACTAACGTAGTTGCCGTACTCCCAACCAGTCGGTTGTGAAAACACGAAGCCTGGGGCTTCCGCGTTGGAGTTCGCGTAGCACATTTCGGGAGCCATAGGGTTGGCCGCCGCTGAATCCTCCATCCCGATGGTCTCGGCAGTGGCAGTCGGCGGCGCATAGTACAGACCCTGCATTGAAGTGGGCGCTGGGCTAGTGTATGTCCACGTCGGTGGCTCGACGAAAGACATGAAAGATGAGGTTGCAGTAAGCGGCTCCGTGATCGAGTCAGGTTCGTACTTTGAGTCCGCCTCGAACCCTTCACCGGCCCAAGGCATGGATTCAGCCGGGAACTGCGTGATAGGCGCGATATTTTCGTCCTGGTTGACGAAGAAACCAGTATCAGGCTGTTGAGGGGGGGGAGATGGCGACCGATGGCGGCCCTCCTGCTCAACGCTGGCAACTGAAGGCGTTCGCGGGTTGCTTATGGTGTCTTCCTGGATTTTGACACGCTCAGTCTCCACTGGCTCTTCATTGGGTTTCGGTTGAGACTCCTTCCGCCTCCTTCGAGGCGGGATTCGAGGCAGGGAGCTAGGCAAGACGTCGAGGTGAACGGTAGTGTCTCCATCAATATCACCGTTCAGGTACTCTTCCTCCCGTCCGGCGAGCGTGTAGATTTGGCCCAGGATCTTTTCGCGTTGGGCAGCCTTGTCCATATTGCCTTTGTCGCCCTCGAAGGTGAAGGTTTTGCTCGACGTGGACTTCTTGAGCCAGTCCACCCAACTCGGCTGGCGGATCTCCTCGGCTCGCATGTTGCGGAGGATATGCAAAGCCAGTTCGTTCCTGTCTTTTTTGCACAGGTGATCCGGTTCCATGTGCTTAACCTGTTCAGGCCACCAGGGCGGGACCTTTCCATTCTTGCCGAACTTCTTGGTCGAGATGTAGGGGAAGTTCGTCTGCTTTTTGGGTTCCGTGGCCTTGATCCACTCCTTCAGGATCATCTTCACGGCCATCTGCTGGATGCATTCGAATCCTTCTCTGTAGAAGGCAATAACTGCAGTTTCATCACCAATCCGGATGGACATGACTGGAACCCCGTTGGATCGTGTTCGATTAAGGAACATCTCAGCTTCAGCTTCGCCCTCATCCGTGATGACCGATGCCTTGGCATCGACAGTCTTGGTAGCAACAGTCGTATCAAGGCGAGCTTGCTTTCTTCTTCGGGATTCCCCTTCCATGGGTAGGTCTGTACTGGAACTGGATCGGCGGCGTCCTTTAGGCTTGCTAGATGGGATCTTTTCTGGAACCAGCTGGGTTTCCACAGCCGCCAAACTACCTTGAGCTGGTTCTGCGGCAAGAGGGTAACCTATGACTAGATGTGAGAGGGAATTTGGAGAAAAGGAACGGAAGGGCCTTACCAGACGAATGGACCATCGGTTGGGTGGATGTCATAGCACGGCTCAAGTACGTGTAGCCAAAGTCCGGTTGAGGGCAACCAGACGACAGAACATGAACACGCCCATGTGCATCACGAACTGCAACGTTCATCTCGACAGGATTGACGCCAAAGAGTTCCTGGACTTCTTTTAACAAAGTCTTATTGAGAGTCTTCGAACTTCTCGAGCTTTGGTCCGAGACGGACAACTGATTGACTGAATAGGGCAGTCGAGTGATGTTACCCTCAATTTGGGGCTCTTCACCAGTTGGGCTCCTGCACGATTCGGGTTAGACTATCACGATTAAGGATGATCATAAAAATTGTCCACTGAATAAAGAGTCAAATCGGACTTGGAATGATCAATGAAAGACTCAAGACGCACAGTTCCAATTGATTGTGTTCACGAAGCCCCGCACCACCAGGACTTCCGATCGCCTGTGGTTCCGTTCGACAGCCATTGCGTTCCTCAACTTTGTCCAATCGTTCCGGCTCGGTGTCTAGTTCCATGTTGGTTGCGACCGCAGCTGTTCGCCCTACACGTTGTGCATGCACCTTGGCAGTCGCTCGTCGATTAAGTTGACCGATCCGTTGACCTGACACAGAACCCGGTCGTACTCCCTCGTTTCCGTCTAAATTGCACCGCAATCTCTTGGTATTCCGCTTGGTCGGGCCCGTAGGAACGTTAGATTGTGTCCCGCGAGCCATCGAGACGACTGGTGATTTCCGAAATGTCCCAAAGAGGGGATCTTTGGTTGGGCCTTGCAACAGATGATTATTCCATAGGCAGCCAGAGGTTCATATTTCGTAAGGGTTTGGGTACAATGAATAGATTAAGAAGAAGGACCAGGGTAAGATTATGCTCGTGCGTGCGGAAAGGACTCAACGGACGTACTTGGAAGCAAACAAGAAAGAAGGCACAATAAGCGAAGGACATAGAGAACCCTAAAAGATCCTCGTCGGACAATTGTTATGTGCAATGGATTTGAGGAAGCGTATGGTTGATGGAGGACCACAGGACTCTCCCTTGAGTCGGCACTTGGTCAGGCTATATGAATGGCTTGCTGAAAGCAGTGCATCCAGCATCTACGCTGGACTGGACCCACCCCCAATGCTTGAGAAAGTGATACACGGTTCACCTCGCCATCGCCAGATGTACCTTCGTGTGTTGCTGGGGTGGTAGCAACTGGCGAGATAGGATTGGACGCGCAAGGGGACATTTTGTGCCCATTACCTGAATATGGCAAAGGGTAACTGCAGTACAAGCGGATGCTGCAAGACACGACATCGAGGCTGCATGGAGGGGCGGGTACATGAAGCGTGGGTGAGCCAACGGTTGACCCTGTCGATGCGATTGGAAGACGACAAAAGCCTTGTTCCTGCAAGAAGTGACTGACGACCGGAGAGATACATGAAGTTTAGTATGAGAATATCCAAGTAAAAAAGAACAACGGACTGAGGAATGACGATGGGGGGAAAACGTTCAAGCCCAAACAAGGGTTTAGAGTCGCGCTAACTCTCGCGGAAACCCCTCTAACCAACTTCAATCTCTTGCGCAAAAAGCAGATCAATATCATGGTAGTGCGCCCAGAACGCCAGGACTCTCAATGAAGGCGTGGCGCTGGAGGATGACTGGAACAGTGGACCTTGCGAGTGCCCATGTTGCAACTCCAAGCGAGCCCTTGGCTTGAAGATTTCCAGATTTCCTAGCTACACATAAGTCAAAATCAGAGCTGCGAGTGGTTAAGTCGGGCATTTGGGGCGCTACCACTGCGTGAGTTCCACAAAGCATTACCATCTCCATCTCGGCTGCGACAGTACAGCGCTAAGGCAGAGATCGTACGGGAGGCCCCACAGCTTCCCGGCACTGTGCCCTGCCGAAAGTCCGAAACCAGTTACGGTATATGCAACACATCCGTCGATCCCCAGTAGCCAAGGCGGATGGATCTCCCCGACTTGTAGTGGCGGCTATCACCGCAGAGACTGCTGTGAGTTGTGTAACGCCGGGGAGATGTTAGGTGCGCCAATGCACCAATGCGCCACTCCTGTTGAAGGCTCCCGCACAGAACCAGGTCAGTGGTCGACTCCCTGTTACCCAAATTTGAATTACCCCTCCCTGGACGCTGGACGAGCGCTGGATAAGGCACCTGCAACGGATTGCAGTCCAGGTCCTCCTCTCTATTCCCTCTGGGCATGAACTTACCAGTTCCTCGGGGGCTCGGGATTATATCGAAGGCCTACCGGCTCAAGGGATTGAGTTGCGGATGGTGGTCGATAAGCGACGACAGATCGACCAATCCCGACTTCGTCCCATGTAGTCGATCAAGATTCAAGATCAAGGGCAATCGAGATGCCCGAATAGTTGGGTTCCCGGAAACCGGGTGTCGAAAATCCAGTTGTCAGTCTTACTGACTCGAAGGACTGGCCATCATTCACCTGCAGATTGTTTTGGTTCCGTTGTTTGCTGCTATTGCCCGTGAAAAGCGGCCAGATGCGCCTTGAACCTTACTAAGGAATTTGCCGGGTTGATCGATTGCCGTCCCCGACGGCAGTTGGCCTCGTCTAGTTGCGTCGGATCTGCCGATTGACCGATGGTGAAGATTGCCCCAGTATATGTGAAATTGAGAGCGTGTTCCGGCTCATCTTTCAGTCTTTTTGGCCAAAGTTCGTATTTACGTCTAAGCGAGGTGCTCCCCCGCATATGTAGTGCGCGGTATTCCATACAACGGTATCCGTCAGCTGGAGACGTTCTCGAGGGGTGATCCTTGAGGCTGGTGCTTTTTGTGTTTGACAGCATTTTAGCCTATCATTGGAGCTCTAGACCCTCCTCCATACCAGCACCATGGTTGTCATTGTTCAGTTGTGGGGTGAATCTCTAGTTCACAACTGTGGGAAAGAAAAGGCAACCAGAGGGGTACAGGAGTGGGCCCGAGAATGAGACAATGAAAGAAGAAACGTTGTGGCGTTGCGCCACGTCTCCACAAGAGTGAGGAGAAAGGAGTACGTAGCGAATCCGCGGAGCATCTAGATCTATTGTGGAGCGTCTATGAATTCCGCCCCCTTTTCCAGGAGCCAGGTTTCCGTTCGCGATATACATATTTTTGGCCCATTTGCGATCCTGCTGGATTGCATGTGGCATAGCACTGGTCCTGGGAGTCGGTGCGATAGCCGCCAAGGCAAGTATCAAGCCTGAACATCGCCAATCTATTTCCTATTTTATTTCCAGCAACAAGGTGCATCAGCCACGCAACCCTTTCATCCCAAGATGTATCTGTTCGCGATTAGGGCTTAGGGAAGCTCCGTCTCCGCTGGAAAGCCCAAGGGAAACAGCCGCTGCCACATGGGTTTCCACTTGCTGCTGCGATTTCACCCTTGGGTCCCGGTGACCCGGTGACCCGGTGACGGGGAAAAGAAGCACCTCGTTTATCCCTCCATGGACGCCAGTGTCGACAGAAGATTTGCTTCTTTCACCAACTCGTAGAACAGTCCCTTTTGCCTGACGAGCTCTGAAGGAGTGTCAAACTCTGCCACGCGACCCTGATCTAGAACAACAATGCGATCGGAATCCAAGATGGTATTGATCCGATGTGCAATGGTGATGATGGTCCGGTCCTTGAAGGTATTGCTGCGAAGAGTCGTTTGCAGCATCTGATCGGTTTCAACATCTACTGCAGCCTATTTTGGGGACATCCAAGGTTAGCGCATGGATTAAAGGTCGATCACGTTTGGCACCCTTACCGTTGCTTCATCCAAGACCAGAATATTGCTTGGCGTTAGAAGTGCGCGCGCAAGAGATATAAGTTGCCGCTGTCCTTGGCTAAGATTTGACCCTAGAAGAAGGCTGGTGTCAGCCACTATGTCTGCTTGGTCAAAACGCAAGGGTACAAGGAGAAACTTACCCGCTTCGTAAATGGGTGCATCAAGCTGGCCGGTCATTTTAGAAACATGTTCCTTCAAACGGGCATGATCTGCTCTTGATTAACATGTCGGTGATTTAAACCGTTCACTTAGACTCACCTAGAACACTCCAGATCTCGGTATCATCATGCACATGTGCAGGATCGAGATTGTCACGAACCGTCCCTTCAAAGAGTGCCGCATCTTGTGGAATGATGGCAAGACGCCGCCGCAGATCCAAAAGTCCAATCGAGCCGGTATTCAAGCCATCGATGCTAATATTTCCTTCAGCGGCCTCGATGATACGGAAGAGCGCAAGGGTCAGCGAGCTTTTGCCTGCGCCGGTCCTTCCGACCACACCAATCTTCTCATGGGATTTGAAGTTGAGGTTAATATCTTTCAAAACCAGGTCCAAGCCTGGTCGGTACCTTGTGCTGTAGTGTTTGAAAGAGACGGCTCCCTGCGAAGGCCAACTGATCGGGGGTCGGTTCTTCATGATCACATCTGGCGCTTCGCTGGGTAGGTTCGCATACTCCAGGATTCGTTCTACCGAAATGATGTTCGTCTCGACTTCCACCGTCTGCCTCACGATCCAATTCAGGGATTGTGTGATCTGCAGAGCATATGACATCGCCAAACCAACCAAACCGGCTGAGAGGTCACTGCCGCTTGAGACGGAGATGATCGAAAAGCCCGCTGCAGCTAAAATGATCACCGATCCGATGAATTCCAATCGAATTGCCAGCCACCTGTTCGCGCTAATGGAAGGAAAGTACGCGCGCACATTGGCGTCCACCCGCCATTCGTTCTCGACTGAGAATCGTTTCTGTTGGCGGTACGCGCGTATGGTGCTAAGACCGTTGAGCGATTCCTGGAAGTGTGCATAGATGGGGCTCCGGCTGATGCTGTCCAGCCGTTTCAGTTCGCGAGACGTCCTCAGGTAGTACCGTTGCACATAGAGATAGAGGGCGCCTAGGGGGACGATAAGCGCGATGAAGGCTGGCGTCGACACGGAGATCACAGCGAGTGTGAACGCGGCTGTAGCAATTAGCGCCTGGAAACACAAGAAACCGTGGCGAGTGGGACAATACCTCTAGCAAAGTTCACAAACAGCATATTAAACACGCGACTGCGGTTGGTGAGCGAAATCCACGTGGGTGGGGATGCTGTGACTTACGCAAGAATTTCATCCACACGATATATGTCGCTGTTTAACTGGTCAGCAGGAACTCAACTATCCACAGCAGAATACTAGGATGCATGTTGAGGAGCCAATGGTGTCAAGACGGTAAACGAAGCCTGTCCAGACTTTGCAGTAGACGTACCTGGAGAAGCGATTGAGAATTCGGCCAGCTGGTGTGGTCTCAAAGAAGCTCATTGGGGATCTGAAAATGGCGTACGCCATCTTCTCGTGCAGCTTGCGCGACGCCTAAATAGACCCGCATTAGCAACAAACGCCACATGATTCGCACTTGAGAAAACGGTTTGTGTTTCCGGTGTGAAAAAAATTATTAGACAGGAACAGGGAACCAACCTCGATGGAACAGAAGACATAGAGAATCAACGACTGTAGAACCACCAACGCGGAGGAGCCGATGCCAAAAGCGAAGTAGATGGCAATATTCTTGCCGACCTCCGGATTCCTGCCGGTCTTTCCGTTCATCTCGGCCCATCGCTTGAGCCAGACGCTTCCACCTGGACTCGGTTAACAGGGCAGGTGATGCAGACTCGACAGATGATACTCACCAATGTTGGCCGTCTGCGCACCGACGAGCATGACGAGATACACAGAAACCGCAACCCAGTTGCAGGTTCTGCCATACTCGAGGTAGACCGACCACTTGACCTTCCCCTGGTCGGAGGTTTCGCTGTTTTGTTTGCTCTTGAGGCCCCCCTCCTCGTCAGCCAATTTCCCGCGTGGGCCACGGAAGCTTGCAGAACTGGCCCGACGCAGTGTCGCCATACTCGACTTCCGCAGCCTGCTTGCACCCACTCGTATAGATGTGAGCTGTCCGACCCCTTCCTGGCTGGCCTCGAGTTCGTCGTTGTCTTCGTCCGAGGATGCGCCGGAGACATACGTCTCTTCGCTGTCGGGGCTCATTGACCCGCTTTCCACACCCCGGTCTCCGTCAAGAGCTGTCCGGATTAGATTGGATATTTCACCTTTCATAGCCATCAGTTGCGAGTACGATCCTCGTTCGATGATCCTGCCTTCCCGTAAGAGAACGACGAAATCCGCCTCCTTGAGCACTGGGATGGAGTTCGTCGCCAATATCCTAGTTTTGCCAGCCAGTAGGCCGTTCGAGCCTAGCACGTTCTCAATCAAATGTCGTCCAACATGCTGGTCCACCGCCGACAGAACATCGTCAAGCAAGTAGATATCTGCCCTTGCGTAGACTGCACGCGCCAAAGTTAGACGTGCCTTTTGTCCGCCGGACAATGAAATCCCGCGCTCGCCAACCTCCGTCTGATCGCCATCGGGAAGAGTCTTGAAATCATCCACCAAAGCACAGGCTTTGACGGTCTTCTGGTAGAACGTCGGATCCCACTTATATCCGAAAACAATGTTCTCTCGGACCGATGCATTCATCACCCAGGCCGTCTGTGCCACGTAGGCCGTCGTGCCTCGCACGATGACCTCTCCGTTCACTTTCCAGAGACCTCCGAGGACAGATTGCAGAAGGGACGATTTACCCGCACCCACGCGGCCCACAGCGCATACGAGGTCCCCCTTATTAGCGGAGAAATTAATATCTGTAAGCGTGTTCTGCGGCTCATTCTTGTTCCATGTAAAAGTCGCGTCGCGGATACGCACGCTTTCATCACCCCCGTCCTCAACCGCAGGCTCAACTCTCACAGCATCCGGCTGCAGTTCTTCCGCGACGAAAAAATCCGTGAGTCGCCCGACGGCCACAGTTGCTTCCACAACCTGAGTGATAACCATGGGGAGGATCGAAAGCGGGAAAGTGAGGAGATTGAAGAGAGTGAGTGCTGTGAAGACGATTCGGACAGTAAGCGGCTTGTCTTCAACAAGTACGAAGACTCCAAAGGTCACGCAAGACACTATGAAGGGCGTCGAGGACCATGTAAAGTTAGCAAAGGCCTGCGCAAATGCAATCTTCCGCTGTGTCACCAACTCTTGGTCGTTTCGAATAACATTGAGCTTCTTCAGGAAGGCGGATGACCACGCGTACAGTTTGATACTTTTCATGTTGTTCAAGATCTCAGTGGTCATCCGTGTTCTCGCATCCTTGTTCTTCATTTGCACCTTTTGAAAGCGCTTCATCACCCGAGCGATGAACGCATTGACCGGGACCATCACGACCATGACAGCAACGCCGGCAAACATACTGAATCCAACGACTCTATACAAAGATACCATGCAGAGAACGATTTGGAACGGGGCGGACCAGAGCTGCTGTGCAAACTGCGTAAGATCCTGGAGACGCTGCGCATCCACGGCCATATAGTTCACAATGTCGCCGGTAGATTTGGACGCTCGACCTTCGTTGGAGAGTCGCATGGATTTCGAGTAGATTGCCGCCGTCAATGACGAGCGAATCCGCATTCCCGTCTCAAACGATCGCTGGAAATATTGGTGAAGCGCGGTGGTCTGCACCACAGACACGGCGAACATCGCCAGCGCGATCGCGACGCCCCGAGCGGTCGGTTGGCGGTCGTCGACGTGGTCGTCGACGTGGTCGTAGGACTCCACGAAATCAATCAACAGGCCCAACAGCTGGGGCTGGACGTATTGCAGGACATCACTGCAGATTTTGAACCCCGAAGCGGCAAGGTACGGTCCTCCAAATGCCCGGGCGAGCGCCATGAATAGCGACGGGCGTTTGTGCTCCAACTCCAGCTTCCACGCCCGTTCAAAGGTATTGGAGGCCATTTTCGTTGTGTCCGATTTGCGAAGGTTCCAAAGGTCGTCCTGTGTGAGGAAGGTTTGATATCCCGCTTTCATCAATGGCGTCATCCAGTTAAAGGTCAACGCCGAAAAGATCGTCGCGTATTCGAAGGGGCATTCGTCCTCGTCGCCCAACGCGTCGTACGCCGACAATCTCTTGGGTACCAGCCATTCTAAGACGAACTCGGTTGCAGAAAGCCCGACGGCTATGCAAAATACGATGAAGTAGGGAAGGTTGGTTCGGTAAATCTCGCGAGCGACGAGGGAGCGGAGTTTAATCGAAATGACGATCAGGAGGAAGAGCCAGTAGAGAAGGACGGAGCCATGAGGGTAGCGGAGTCTCCAATGCTCAATGTATTGCACCGCAAAGATGACTCCAGCGGATAGAATCCAGAGCAAGGTGGTCCAGAATCGAATGTCTCCGACAAAGACAGCACCGTATATTCGAACTTGCAGGCCCAACGTCACGAAGAGGACCGCAAGGAGCGCAGCAATGACCGTCTAAATGCACAATTAGCACCATCATACCAGATCGCTTTACACGCAACCCACCAGTTTCGCAAAGAAGTGCCAATCCCGCTTCACAGGCTGGGTAGGCTGCGTCTTCACCATCCACCAGACAGTTCCCGCGCCCCCAAGTATCCCTCCCAGCGCAACCACCGCGAGCCAAACATCCAGGAAGCATGGCGTGAGGTCCCATCGGAACGGACTCAGAGGGCCCCAGCCCTCAATGTTACCGCATAGCGGCTGGGATAGACGGTGATAGAACCTGTCGGGGTCGAGAGGGCGGGGGGACGACGATAGACCGGAGCCAAACGGAGTCTGGAGGTCGCTAAACGCGGTCATTGGAGAAGGGCTAGACGAATATCGACGACTTCACGGTAAAGAGAAGATGTCGAAATACAGTCAGAAGGAGAAGAGAGGTGAAAAGAAGAATAATAATACTCAGAATCGTTAGTTGCGGTAGTCAAGGCGGCCAATCTATTGCTTATGAAATACTGAGTCTGTCTATGATCTGCAGGTGGTGACCAATAATGGCGTCGGTGTCTCTTTAGCTCTGGATCTTTTGACTCCAACCGTTTCCCCAACGCCGCCAGCCTGGGGTCCCAGGTTTACTTGGCTGGTTCCAGACCCGCTATCGGACCTCTTTTGCTTATTTTCGGGCTGAATTAGTAATCCTCAACACGAGCATCCAAACTCCAGAGTGGTTCTTAATATGATCGCTATAGGGAATGTTGATCATCAATGGAGTTATCGCGGTTCGGCTTTCTCGGAATGCCAGTGGTACAATCTCGTACTGTCTATACTACTATGGCGTCTATATACGTAAGTACAGACTATGGATACAGATGTCAGATAAATGTGGATGGATTTGATATTTCATCGAATTATTAGTTGGCTACGGTAGCTTAAATACCCTCTCGAACACACCCTCACGGAAATCGCGTTAGTGGGGGACCTTGTCACCTCATTTGATAAAGTTCGTCCACATGTCGTCGTCGGATTTCGACGGTGGAATCATCCTGAAATCCCTCCATTCCGTATCTCGATCTTTCCGCACTGCTTCCCGATTCTTGTCTACATGCGTCTGGACTTCCCTTTCGAAAGTTTTGTTGTCTAAGGCGACGAACGCCTGGTGATCGGAAAGGTTAGTAATTAGGGACACCGATTTGTCTAATGCGAGGATGGGAGTGACGCTTGAGGTACGTACCTTCAATGCCTCGGGGATGGGTGTCAGCTTCGGTACATCGACCGCATCATCGCTAGCATAGACGAGTACGACATTCTTGCTGTCGTTCTCAGCGGCCCTCAGTACATCGGATACATCAACCCGCTGCAGATAGATTAGCATCAAGCCAGACCAGCGTTAATGACTACACGTACGTCGCAAGAGGTTGTCCCCGCGGTTCCAAAATAAAACTTCCACCACTCCGGTCCAGTTGGCTTCGGGTCCCAGTCGTCTTCTTGCGCTGCCTCTTCTTTCGACCGAAACCCCTGGGCGAGGTAGGTCGTGTTTTTGTTCATGATGACCCCTCGGAGCTGGTATCCGCGATTTTTGGCCGGTAGGGATTTATTCTCTTCGGCCTTTAACCAGTTTTGATGGTCATCCACTGTGGCAATTACTCCCTTCTTCTTCAATTCCACAGCTACGAAAGTTAGTGTTGTTAAACAAAGTACGACGGTGACAGCTTACCTTCGACATTCGCCTTGAGTTTTTGATATGCCTTGTCCAGTTCGTCGAACATGGATTGGTCTTTCAACCCGTTGACGCGAGGCACCACTTCGGAGACATTCGAACGATTGGGGGCGCAGCGCAAGACGTCGTCGAAGACTCGGAGCATATCAGGAACGACAGTCCCGTCTTTCTTCGTGAACTCCAAGAGCTTTTTGAGCTCTTTCTCGTGCTTCTTAACTTCCGCTCGAGCAGTGGAGATGGCGTCGCGGACGGCTCGGGCCATTTCCTGGTTTGCCGTCATATATCTGCCCATGTAGAGATATTCGGCGATGCTGATACCCAGGCCGTCGGTCTTCGTGCTGCTCCGTGTGAGCTGCACGGTGAGGACTTTGGGCGCCTCGCTCAGGGAGGCCACCTCGAAGTTAGAATCCGGGCTGGCCCAGAAGACCATATCTAACGTATCATAGAGGTCTTCCAGCACTTCATCCAGGTCGTCCAAATCGATGTCCAGCGTGTAAAACGGTGCGGTCTCGCCATCCTCTTCTTTGACGACCGCGGCTCGGAATAGCCGCGAAAGATTCAGATCGGCCTGAAACCGACTGAACGAAATCTCGAAACTATGCATGAACTGCTTAAAGGAGGGAAGTATCGGGCCATCCGAATCCGGAGGAAGATTCTGGAAAGATCTCATCCTGGTTAGATTCTCGACACTACCGTAAGATCGAATGGTCAGTTCGGCGAAAGCGAACAATCGCTGAATTTCGGCCATAAGCTCCCAGTCATCGTATTCTTCATCGTTGAGATCGATGAGGCTTTCGAGGGATTCCTCCTCTCTGATACTTCCGTTCCACCAATTTGCCCAGACCCTGTAGTCAACGCCCGTACGTCCGGAGAAGACGATGTTTCGCACCAGAGGAATGTGCGTCACGATGGCGACGAAGTTCGGGAGGAGATCATCATCGTGTCTCGGCTTCATAAAAGTCGGCTCGTCGTCCGTCTTTCTACGGTCAGGCGGATCGGGATCGTCGATTTCTCCATGTAGCGTTAAGGCCCATTTGGAGCTGTCATAATTGGCTTGCGTCGCGGGGCGGAGTTGCCCTCCTCCAATAACGCCGCTCTCTTGCTCACCCATAAAATCCTCCGGCCCTGCATCCACGAAAGTAAGCAGAGTGTTCTACGCACTCGGATTCTGTCAGGGCATTTTACCTGGGAAGATCTCAGTCGCTCCATCTCTGAAGCTTACTCTTGATGGCGGCCGCGACATGGCGGACAAATTCGGATCGACTTGGATCAAATCCGGCATTGATGAATCGATTTGAAAGGCTGGAATGAATCACAATATTAGTCGATTGATCCGCGAAAGGGCAGCGAGGTTTCTCACAAGGTACGTTGGTCTCCGTGCCGCCATCTCGGTCTTGTGCAAACGCACTTTCGTCCCATGCGGTGTCTTTTTTAACCTGAAATTGGGAACGGGTCAGCCAAAGTCCGCAAATCAATATGGCAGTTGGCTTACGAGCGCTTCTTGGCCGTTCGTCAGGAACTGGACGACGGCTGCATCCAGGTCACCATTGTAGATCTAGTGCCAGTGTCAATTTGGCTCGACGAGTTCATGTACTCTGTGTAATGTACCTCAATAAGTCGCCTAGCATCAACTCGTGAAAGGTTGGTGATCTCCTTGACCATATCGACATTCTCGTCGGACACCATGATGCTTAGGACAAGCCCCAAGCCCCAAGGTGTTAGGTTGGTGCGGCGATGTCGGCTTTGATAAAACGGGAAGAAGACCAAACGGGGATTCTTTAACAATGTGAATCACATTCCTAATAGCCCCCAGTGCAAGAGTTAGATGGTTGTGTTTGCCGCCACCCGTTGAGTGGTTTGATGGACATTGCGATATTCTACGGACAGCTGGTCAAAGGGAGGGAACAAATGTGTGGACGCCAGAGGCTCCCAAACCAACGCACAGGAATAATCAGTGAATACGTCAATTCAGGTGTCTTCCATGATGATGTTGAATAACAGGCGATGTTACTTTTCGAGCGATAATAAATAGCTATGGGCTAAGTTTCATGGTTCATTGTTGACTTGGCTTATGGGATTACGCCTCCAGAAGAGTGGATACAGCCAATGACAATTGACAGCCGCCCCATTTACTCAGCGTCTAACTTCGGACAAGATCATCTGCGCCTCCTGATATTGCGTCTTTCATGCCAATGCATACTTGTACCCCGATCTATGGTACGTTATACAATATCAAAATGTGACGTGAGAAGTGTACATGGCTTTCCATTATTCGTTGGATACCAAACCTAAACAATTCTATCATACAACCATAGGTGGAGTGAACACTATTTATACACTATACTAGTATCCAAGACCCTCCATGCGCACACCTATGCGGACGCCTTCCCCGATCTATTCACAAAAAGCTAAGGGAACCGCCATGAGTCCTCAGCTCTTCTCCCCATACAGCCACGCCATATAGGAATCCACACTATCCTCCCTCGCCTTCCCCAATTCCTGCAACGTATGCGCCGACACATTCGGATGCGTCGGCCTAAACACAACCGTCCCCTTCCGATCATCAATCCGATCCTGCGCCCGCCGCCACTTCTTGCTCTCCTCCACGTAGTGGCGGATGTGCCGGAACCAGAACCGGTCCTCCTGCCGGTCCACGCTGCCCCGCGTCAACGCCTGCCGCCGGGCCGTCAGCAGGGCGTAGTAGCGTCGGGCGGAGGACTCCTTGAGTTCTGTGATGGCGTATTCGACTTTCCAGGAGTCTTCGGGGGCGAGGTCGACCGGTCGGTCGACTTGGAAGCCGTTGACGAGGTTTCGGACGGTCACCGTGAATCCTAGTAACGGCGTCTCCGCCTGCTGTTCGGGAGAAGACGTCTTCTTTCCACGTTTTGCGTTGGGTGCGACCTGGTGAACATCCTCCTCCAGCACATCGTTTGGAGCCTCATCTGACACAGTCGGCTCTTCGGTGACTTCGTCACTTCCTTGTTCCTGCTCCAACGCATCCTCAATGGAATCCCGAATCTTGGCCCATTCGTTTTCGTCGATGCTCTTTTCGCTGTCGACATCCTCGCCGAACAAAGACGCCTCATATTCCCGTTGCCGTTGGTCTGAAGCGCCTTGGATCTCCTCGATCTCGGTTTCGGAGACTGGCTCCGCGAATGCATACATGAAAGGAACGACGCCCTCTCGTGTTTCAAAGCTCAGGCGAATGGACTGCGGTCGTCAGCGAAGCCACAGGATATCAGCGCACACAAACTTACTTGCTCCGGGAATCGAGCCGTCGCCTTGTCGAAAATGTCATCGACGACCTTTAGACTCATCCCAAACTCCTGGTCCCCAAGCGACGGGTCCTGCTGCCCGTGAATAGCCTCATCCATCTCCGCTAGGCTGACGTACTGGAACCCAAAGAGCCGCTCGACATTATGATATGCAACGAAGATGCCATCCATCCGTCCGATGCGGACCTGAAGCGAATATTTCAGCATCGTGGCGCGCATCATGTCGTGGAATTCGCGCTCGTATGACATCCAGTTCCCCTGGCTCTGCCGCAGCTCGTACCCCAGATAATCCTCGAATTTCTCGCTGGGGGCGTGGCGGAGGGACAGCACCGCGCGGGTTTTCAGGTCGAAGACGCCGGTGCCCGGCATGCGCGGGTCTTTCGCGTCGAGCTGCGAGCGGAGCAAGATCTTATCGCTCGAACTGAAATGGTAGCCTTCAGGCACCTCGTCGACGCCTTTCGACAGTGCGGGGCTGGTCCTTCGGTAGGTTTCGTAGTCGTCGGCGGGGAGGACAAGGAGTTTCTCCAGCGAGTGACCCAGGAGACCGAAGATGTTCGGAGTCTGGCCATCTTTTGACTTATCCACGGCGTAGACGCCGTTCTTCCATCGGAGAAACACCGTCGTCGGACCGCGCGAGAACTTGGAGAACTTTTTGCTGGTGGTTTCGAACTTCTTGGAAAGCATGGAGAAGTTGAGTTCGCGCCATTGGGACAGCAAGAAATGAAGGTGTTCGAGAATCGAGGTCATGTTCGAGCTGGAGCTGTAGTATCGGAGATTCCGTTCTTTGGCAAGATGTGCTAAGGTCATATCTTTTGATGGGACGATATATTTGGTCAGTGCACCGTAGTTGAACTCCTTCGCGGGCATGATCTTTTGCAGATATGGATCGAAATTGTACACTCGGGAGCGGGGATCTTGTAGGTAATAGACTCCTGGGCTACATACTGTTAGCATCGAAACGGAATGTATGATAATGCGAGACCATACTTGAAAAGCACGCGGTCCAATCCATGGGCAAGGCCTGGAGCGTCAGATGACCCGATATCGATATCTGTGATGTTTAGTGACATATCAACATGGAAGGATGATGCTCCACTCACGCGTCAGCTGGAAACCTTCTCTAGTGATAACCGCAACGTCTTGATTGGACCCGGCTTTGGCGTTTTTCCTCGAAACCTTCTTCTTGGGCGCATCATCCGTTCCCATGAAGGAAGGCAATTCCTCGCGCGGTAGGAGTACCCTCGGCGTATCCCCCAAATCTGTGCTCCCCCGGTTTCTCATCGAGAGCCGCGGACGCGCTCGATGGGAATGAAAGGTTTCCTCCCCATGGGCGATCAAGAGCTTTCGAATCTGCGGTTGATCCTGCGAGCCCCCTATAGGATACGTCCGAATCCGAGGAGTCGACACACGATGTTTCCGGATTGTAACATGTCCTCTAGGCCGTTCGATTCGGGGCTTCTGCTTGACGCTGGAAATGGGAGGCTCCGTTCCTGGTCGAAGTCGATATCGGAGCTTAATTCCACCATTTGAAGGGTTGGGCTCGGTTCCGCTCTCGTCGGCTTTTGCGGGAGCGCTGTTTGGCAGGGAGTTAGGTACGGCTAGCTCAGTCGTTTCCGCGACCTTGTCTGAATCGACCGGTCCACCCTTCCCTCTACCTGAATAGCTGATCCGAATCCCCGGTGTTGGAGAACTGGTATCCTTTCTGGCCGTCCACACTTTCCGAGACCTTGCTTTTATATTGTGTTCCGTCCCAGTCTTGCGCACAATGGTGCTAGACTTGGCTTTTATTTTGCTTCGGCGGACCAGTCGACTCGGTACTGTACTTGCGCCTGCGCTGGGTGGTTGGGGGAGAGATCGGGAGGAGACAAGTGACGACGGGTTCGAAGGAGTAAGGCGACGAACGAACGTCTTAGATTTAGGGTTGGGTTTGAGTTTCGCGCGCCCCGACCTATTTCCATTCTTCGGGGAAGGAGACTTTTCCCCGGTGGATGCATTGTCTTCGCTCTCCTTCGGTGTGCTATGTGATCTGGACACTTGGACATAGTGTCTTGCGATCGATTGAAGTGTCGTAACCCTTGCTTGTCGTGCAAGACGCACTTCGATATTGAACATAGAGCGGAGTGTATATGGGGAATCGGCGCATGGAGGAGAGGGTATCGTATCGGGTTGGGAGGGAGTAGGATGGGCCGCAGGAAGTCGAGGGGATTAGTCCATTACAGAATACAGCAAAGAACTGGAAGATGGAAAATGCAACAAATGATTAAAGAGCGACGAGGAAAATGGACCACGATCAGGTCTTTTACACACCCTCTGTGATTCCTCCTATCAATTGTAATATTGTGGTACTCTTTCAATGGCTGGACCAGACATCAGACATGGCGATGAACAAAAACCATCACCCATGTCGGAGTTGGAGAGAAGGCGCAAACCAGATCCCTGCACAACTTCCCTGCACAACTTCCCTGCACAATTGGATGACCTCACACTGTCACACAACAACACAACGCGATCTAGTCACTACACTGGACTCCCGACTCCGCCACTCCGGGATAGCCTACGTACGATGCTAGATTCTCGCTACTAACTTTCTGTCACTACCGAAAGAACTCGATTGTTCCCTTGCCCTCACCGGCTCATATCTTCACTCTTTTATTCCTCTCCCAGATCCCATTTCGAGCTGTGAGCGCTGCTGTGATGGGATCAATTCCTACCCCTGCTGCGCCTCGCTCCAGTATCTGGCAATCGGACAACCCGGAGACATGCTTCCAGTGCTGAGAATACGATCTGGACATATGAATCTCTCAAGTGGCTGGATATCTTTGCGGATGAACACGAGGTCCTGACTTCTGAGGACAATCGGTTACACACGATAGTCTCATCCTCGGACCCCGCGATCTATGTCTCTGCGAGTCCCGCAATTCTCTCCATTGTACCCTTCCGAGATACGGATTTCGAGGGGGAAACGGCGGCACCACGCAAGAGCGTGACAGGGTCGTCATGTCCTTCCGCAACAGCGGCAAAGATGGCAGGAAGAGGAGGAGCATCCTCGGCATGATGCCGCTGGCATCGTTTGCATCGAATGGATCGGAGGACGAGATCAAGCAGGAGGCCAAGCCCAAAAAATTGGTGAAGAACCCTCGCGCATCGCGATCGGATTCAAACCCTTCCTTGAAGGCCTCCGATCATGAAAGGGATTCCTTGGACCGAGTCATGGCCTCTAGTCGGCCTTCGACGCAACCCAAGGGCAGGCCCGCGTCGCTGTTCGGGTCGCTCCGTTCGCTTCGCTCCCTGGACCATTACGAGGAACCCCTATCAGCAACGAGCATTACACCTTCAATACATTGGACACCACTCGGAGAGAATGCAATACCACCGTCCCGAGAAGTGCTCCACCATGGAGAGGTTCAAACGAGCAGCTCAATGTTTCGAAAGAAGAGGGAATATCTCGTGCTTACTGAGACTCACATCGTACGAGTGAAAAGCCAGCAAAAGGCCGCAGATACGTTTCCTTCGTATGCATGACATTACCATAGTTAGCTGTGCCTCTACTTGCTAACTATGTTGTAGAATTTCACCGTCCAATGGCAAAGGCCTATACGCTAGACATCGCTCAACCAACTCAGGTGGGTCATTGCATGACCTGCAATCCTTCACTTCGGAAGCATCGGGCGACAAAGACTACGGCATATCTCTCCGTCAAGTGGTTGCCGTGTACAACCCGGGCGACGGAAAGCCGTACTTCGCGATTGAAGTGGCATGTCTGGACGAAGAGGTGAACCAGGCTTCTATCATGACGTTACAATTTGACGACCCGAATGACCGTGATGCGTGGTTCTATGCCATTAAAAGCGCCGCCACCCAGGTCTCCATCGCGGATGATCAGCCCATCAGTCCGTACAACCTCAACCTCGCAGCCAGGACTGTGGAGGCAGAGAATGATTATGACCCGTCTCACTTTCTCGTGTATAAAGTCGTCGTCCGCCCCGCCGGCAAATCATCCACCCGATCTTCCGCCGACGACCTGTCCAAGATTGTCTCGACCGTGTGTTTTCTCGTCATTGGTGTGCATAAGATCCACCTGATACCCCTGTTTAAATCGCCGAACCGATCGTCCAGTCCAGCGCTTCACCAACCGTCGAACCAGGGCTCCTTCGGCATCCTGTCCATGTCGGCCGTCTCCCTTCTTGAGGCCGAGGATCCGTTCGAACTCTCCTTCAGGTTTGCACCCCGTAGCTGCTTCCCTCCGCGGGCGTGATGCTGACCCTTGCGAAGGCAGCCTCTGAAGGCCAATAAAGTCATCCACCTCGCCTCCCTCGCGGCCCCTGATATCGTGGACCGGTTGCTCCATGTTGAGCGGTGCTTGCGGCCGGGATGGGTCGAAAAGCCGTATGCTCTCGAGCTGCCTCCGTCAATGAACGAGAAGCTGGTCACCCTCGAGGACCTACAACTATCCACGGCGGAAACCTTCGAAAGGACCTTGATAGCATATTGTGTGGCCTACGGCACTGACCCGGCGCATATCCGGTAAGTTAATCGTCAACGGTGGCAATCCATGGCCTGATTTTATCCCTCAGCTTGTAATATGCTTCACTCAACCCTTCTAACGGCAAGACAGATATCAAGTGTCCGAGCGATATGACAATACGCAATGCTTCGAGCTCCTTCCACCCGTGGGAGCCCCGAAAGTTGCCTATCATGAGTTAGAGCTTCTGGCCGTCATGCGCGCGTTACGGTACAACATAGCCTTTAACAGCATATCCTTTGCCAAGGTGTCCCTTGATCCGCTCCGACGCATATATGATCCATATGGTACGGATTATATGTGCATACCCCGAAACGCCCTTGCCGCCTATCCATCGCTGCAGGAGGATTTCCAGGCCTCTTCACTGTTAGTCTCCGAGACACGGCTGTTGGCGATGGCCAACACGAAGTTACGAGGCCTCGATTTCGACTCTTGCATCAAGCAAGTGCCGCGTGAACCGGGCGATGATGACCAGCAGCCCAACGACGGCTGCGCGCTGGTGGAGGCGCTCATCCCGCTGTGCAAGACCCAGCTGACCAATGTGGATTGGATTGGATTCAACAACATCCAGCTGGGCGAGCTCGATATCGAGTATATCGTGGACGCGGCCGCCGACCGAGCGTGTCATTTCCGTGCGCTGGAACTGAGCAACTGCGGCCTGAACGACCGATCTTTGTCGCTAGTCCTGGACGCTCTGCGCGCACAGGAGAATACGCTAGAGTCGATTGACTTCTCCCGCAGCGCGGGACGGCTGAGCCCCGCGATCTTTGAGGGCCAGATCGGCGTGTTTGGATACCTGAGGAGCCTGAACTTATCGTACCTGTCGACAACGGGTGGCAATGAGGCACTGATACCCGCGGAAATTCTTATGAAGTGGAACCTTCAGAAACTTGCTCTCAGCGGATCCCCGATCAGCGGCGCGATGCTTGATGCCATTGCTGTGTAAGTATTCTGCATTATCCATTTGAAAAGTTGATCTGACGGCTTCCACAGCTATCTCGAAAGTCCCAAGTCTTCCTGTTTGCAAGAGCTACGGCTCGATCACACTGCCATGACTGGGGGCGAAATGGCTAAAATCCTCCTTGCGATGACCAAGGAAGAAGGGTCGGAGCGTGAATTACACCTTGACTTGAGCGAGAACCGACCGGAAAAGGACCACCGTCTATTATCTTGGGCCATATCGAACGGACATGCACCGTCGAATCTTACCATAAAATACCTGGAATATGAGAACGAAAGCCTCTTCCGCGAATTGATCCTTGCGTTAGGGAAGAACCGAACGATCCGATCCTTGGATATCTCAAAGGCAAAGCTGCCTCATGACGCCTCGGACGAGACCTGCAATGCCCTGGAGGCTTTGTTTAAATACAACACGTCCCTTGTCAGCCTCGACATCTCGGGAGAAGATTCGAAACTGGAGACATCGAAACTCGGAGTCGGCCTAAACCAAGCTCTCCACGGCCTGAAGGAGAACAAGGCCCTCCGATCGCTGTCCATCCAATACCAAATGCTCGGCTTGCCCGGGGCCAGTACGCTCGCCGACGTCCTCAAAATCAACGACACCCTCCAATACCTTTTTTGCGAACACAACGCCATTCCCCTCTCCGGCTTCACCGACCTCATCAACACCCTCTACCGCAATACCTCCATCCTCTACCTCCCCGAGATGCAAGAAGGCCGCGATGACGCCCTCCGCCAGACCGAATCCCAAGTCAAAGCCATCCAAGACGACGCCGTCGCCCACACCCCGGGCAAGTCCTCCGTGCGCACCAAGCTCGCCCGCACCGCCCGCCCCTCCCACCGCCGCCAGTCCTCTAGCATCAGCTTCTCCGACCAGGACATCCAAGCGGCCCTCCGCCTCGTTGAGGAAAGCTGGGACCGCCAGGTCTATCGACTTCGTTTATATATGTATCGGAACAACTGCATCGCGCAGGGCATCCCCGCGGAGATGGAGATCCTCGAGGAGGAATACGAAAGACCCGACGACGCGATGTCGAGTACGGGGAGGATCTTGGAGCAGGTGAAGAGCGAGACTACGCCGCGCGTGGAGAAGGAGCTGGAGCTGGGTAAGGGGGAGCAATCGCGGGACACGAATGGGGAGGAGATGTCGCTGACAGATGAGATCGAGCTTATGCTGGGATGGGCGAAGAAGGGAGAGAAGGCGTGAAATGGGAGGTAGCACAGCACTCCTTGAACCCCTTGCGCTCAAGCGCGGATCGAAGCGTCTGCCGATAACAATCCAGCTTCCAAACCCTCACAATCTCCGTATACGAAGCGATTCGCCGGTCATAACGGCTGCCAGGCCACTCCACAATCTCCCTAACCCGCTCACCCAAGGGCTTCCATGACCGACCTCTTTTGGTCCCGGGTCTAGCCCGGTTCGTACACTTGGAACTCTTCGCTTTTAAGATCCAGTATCCGGTAGCCGGCGGAACCCCACATTCGCGAAAAGTATCGCTATTGGAGAGGTCGCGGCGATGCCGACGGAGAGCCTGGACTTCGCGCGGTCGGCCAGACGTGACCGGCGGGCGCGGGGGTTTGTGGAGGGGTAGGGATGGGCTCGTAGGGTGGTGTAGGGTTTTTTGCGACGGCGTAATTTCATGATGTAGCTAGTTTGGGTTGTCTATATTCATTCTATGAAGAGATAAACGTCTATAAGTTGATAATATCGCTCCTAGAGGGTACGTCATAGGGTGTCTAAATGGTGCTACGACTATTGTATCAATCCTGGCCCCTGGGTTGTTATCCTCTGTAAATCGATGGCCTTGTCTCCGTAGGTTGTGCTCCTCGAGTCTATCATGCAATCATCTATGGCGAGGATTGATTGTCATTGGTTATTGCTCGCTCGACCTGTTGTGGATCCAACTTCCGGAGTCACAGCAGGAATGATGTGATAATTGCAGATACATAACAATGCATTCGAGGCAGGTCAAGCAATCATGCCCCGAACAAGGGTCCCCAGATTATCTGTGGAGTAGAATCAGCCCTTTCCGTCCGAGAAAGCTTCAATTATTTATCTCTCTCCTGATCCCGTATCCAATGCCGGTTTATTGCACCAAACCGTAGACGTTCGTCTTGTCTCTCCGTCCTAAGGAAGGCGACACTTCCTCACTATGCCTCCGGGTGGAAGACTCCAAGATGAGGAACTGGATCGTGCGGCATGGCAAGCTGCCAAAGCTGGCGCAATCGGTGCGGCAAAGGTACGTTTCCGCAACAATTGTACTTCATATTAGAATTTCCTACTTCGACATTGTTTTTTGAGTCTCTGTATTGTAAGGTCGCGTGTTTCTGTTTATTTGAGGAATCACTATCCGTGCTGTCATCGAAGGCTGCTGACGAAACCTCCCTCTCAGTGGGGCGTAGGTGCAGCAATGTTAGGGGGAGCGGCATACTTCTACAGTCCGATATATCGTGGATTGACCATCCAATTCAAAATGTAAGGATGTCTCCCTTTACCCTCACTCCCTAAGCATATTGTCTAGTCGGCAACGAGCAAGAACCATCTCTACCCCCTGCCGGTCCTGTCCTGTATTGGTCCTAATAACAGCCATGGCACAGCTATCTCCAGATGTCCGCGATGACGCTCGGTGGGATCCTCAAAGGGGAGAGCTACATGCATGACCATAAGATCCGAATGAGACATTACCGCCGGCTACAGAGCGATAGTCGGAAGTGGAGGGAGAACGAGGCGGACTATGAGAGTCGAGGGACGCCGGGGGTGGGAAGCGAGGGACATGTAGGACGTAGAGAGGATAGATAATATAATGATTCGTCTCCTTGGATACGACATGGAGTTGTTTGGTTCAGACACGAGAAGTCCGTCCCAGTCCACGTTCTATATCTCTTGCTCGTGGTCGACATGATCTGATCTGATACCAAAGCACGACTTGACTGTTTGCCTACTTAGTTGCCTCAGAGCCTTGCTGCCTTATCCTGCTCATGCCATCCTCACTGCCACGATCCTCCCGTCCTCTTCCACCTTGACCGCAACGTGTCTTTCTTCCTCAACATCACCAGTAACATCACGAATTTCTTGTGGAAGATAGACCTCTAAGCTCCAAGGACCCCAAAGCCTCCATCGGCAGAATTCAAAATGGACGTGTTTTGGGCCGCTCCCCCGGTGTCAAGGTACCTGACCCACAACCTGGATTGTTTGCAGCATCAAATCTGATAGCTGATCCCAGAACCATCACAGCCTTCTCGTTTGTGATGTCGACCTTGTCCCATACCGGGTTTCTGTTTCTCGACCCCGGCAGTTTGGTCTTCTTCCCGCCGTTGGTGTTCGGTAAATTGCCGCCGGAGCTCTGGAGGGTGGTCACATCATGCTTTCTAACCAGAGGTGGCCTCGCACTTTTATTTGAGCCGTATATGCGTGAGTTTCCCGCTCGATGTTGGTCGAAGATTTCTGACCGGATTAGTGTATCAATATGCGAGCGGCCTCGAGCGCGAATCGTCACGATTCCCGAATCCTGGGGATTTCTTCATTTTCCTCATTTTCCTTTGCACGGTGATAATTGTAGGTCTTGCATTTGTTCCTTTACAATTTGGTCCTCGCACTCTCATATCCTTCCCCCTTATAGTTCACCAAACCTCACATTTCTGCCCGTACGGCCTCTAGTGGCTGTCACGGTTCCTGGTACCCAGGGAGATTGACCCTTCGTCAATGTTCGATCAATCATTCGCAATACTAAACAATCGAGCTTGGCGGAGGAATGGTGGGCGCCTATCTTGCTGCCGCTGCCTCAAAGGCTTGGTTAGCCGGTAGGCGCCCTACATTCTTAGCTGTTTGAAATGTTATTTGAAATCGAGCCTTGTGGTCTTCGCGTCATTATATTATTGATTGAATTCTGGTTGCTAACTGAATTAAGGGACTGGCCTACACTATACTGGGGGCCGAGATGTTCCTTCCAGGTTGGTACATCCGCTATCATTTATAGACGACTCTGACCTCGTATAGCCCTCATTTTGGCGTTGGCCTACACCTTTGCGCAGGATAACCCGGACCGACAAGTCAACGTGATCTTCATTAACATGCCGGCCAAGTTCATGCCATATGCGATGCTCTTCCTTACCTACATCGTGGTCGGCCCTTACATGATGTATGTTGAGATCACCGGTCTGGTTGCCGCTCATCTCTACAACTTCTTGACGAAGATTTGGCCTGCCTTCGGCGGAGGCACCAATATCATCAAGACCCCGGGTTTTGTGAGCAGGTGGTTTGGTGGAGGAAGCCCGCAGGCTAGGAGCTTCGGTATGGCCTACCCGGGACGAGTAACTGCTGCACAGAACCAGCCGGGTTCTGGGTCAGGTAGCGGATTCGGAGGCTTTGGCTCGGCATGGCAGAGAAGAGGTGGCGGGAGACGCCTTGGAGAGTGAAGATTGCAAGCGTGCTTTGTACCATTTAATTTGATGAAATCATATTCCATGCACTGGAATATCTAACTCGAATGTCTCTCGCGAGCATCTGCAACCCAATACTCTGCATTGCATTTCCCCGGGTCGGTTCGGATGCACTATAGCGACATCATATTGTGGCGGTGCAGTCCGCGGTTCCTCGCTGTTACTGGCGCCTTCCCCGTCATTTCCGTTCAAGTTGCAAAGGGAATGTAATTACATAACCACAGTCCATAGACTGATCCTACAAAGTTGGAATAAACAATCGCAAAATTTGACATTCACGATCTCTTTATCCCCTTCGGTGTACATTCATTGATTGTCTAGCGCTGCTTTCGTTAGCAAGTCGCTTGCTTTTATTGTCCGGCGTTCGAACGCGTCCCTCGGGTCCCATCCAAGCCCGGGAACGCCGACGTCACACAATTGTTTAAGAGCCTTATCCCCAACCCTATGCGACATCAATAACGCGGCGGTCATTGGGCGGCCATGTATATATCAGCTGCACCAAATGCCGTTCCAGCTGTCTCCATAACTCCTCTCACCCTCGCCCGGTACGCCGCAGCCGCCAGCGAAGAAATCGATCCGCACCACCGCAGCGAACAATGGTCCTCCTTCATCGGCATCATCACCGCCATTGTGGGCAATATCCTGATATCATTCGCGCTGAACACGCAGCGGTATGCGCATACGCGGCTGGAACGGCAGTACAAGGAGCGGAAGAAGGCGAGATGGAAAGCGGAGAATCGACGGAATGGCGTGGGCGCGTATGGGATCGGCTCGGAGCAAGCGGACCGAAATGGAAGCGCGATAGGACATGATTCACCTAATGGTCATGATGGAGAAGAGGAGGCAACCGAGACAGACACGCTTCTGCCTAGGAGCATTGACAGAGATTCGTCCGAGATAGAAAGGGAACAGACCGACTCTGACGACAGCGCCTCGCAATCCTATTTACGCTCGCCATATTGGTGGACGGGCATCATCCTCATGATCATCGGCGAAGCTGGCAACTTTCTCGCGTACGGCTTTGCGCCCGCATCGATCGTCTCGCCGCTCGGCGTGGTGGCGCTCATCTCGAACTGCATGATCGCGCCATTTATGCTCAAGGAGCCGTTTCGAGGGAGGGACTTTTTTGGCGTCCTCATTTCCATTACGGGCGCGGTGACCGTCGTCCTGAGCGCGAACACCACAGACCCGAAGCTTGGACCGGACGAGTTGTTGGATCTGATGTCGCGGTTGGAGTTTAAGATCTACCTTGGGATCACGACGGCGATGATATTTGGGTTGATGTGGGTGAGCGCGAGGTATGGGCAAAAGTCTATATTCGTGGATCTGGGTCTTGTCGGGCTATTTGGTATGTTTATCGTAGGTTCAAACTCTAAAACGCTGCTAACCTGTTATCCGTAGGCGGCTATACTGCTCTTTCGACCAAGGGCGTCGCATCGCTGCTTTCCTATACCCTGTTCCGAGCGCTGACGTTCCCTATGACATATTTGCTGGTCTTCGTCTTGATTCTCACTGCGGTCATGCAAATCCGCTATGTAAACCGGGCGCTCCAGCGGTTCGATGCAACCCAGGTCATCCCTACGCAGTTCGTCATGTTCACTCTATCGGTCATCATCGGAAGCGCCGTGTTGTATCGCGATTTTGAGAGAACTTCAGGGGACTCGTCCGGAAAGTTCATTGGTGGTTGCGCCCTGACGTTCATGGGCGTCTGGCTGATCACGAGTGCCCGCGAACCCAGGGAGGAAGACGATGGTTTTGGATTCGAAGAAGAGGAGGAGGAACACATCAACCTGGCCCGGGACTCAAGGCGCCCGAGCATCCAGCAACGGGACGATCGCAGGGACAGTATCCGACACAATCCTCACGCCTCACTCCCAATGTCTCTCGGAACTCCAACACGATCAAGAGCGCCGCATTTACCCGTCACCGGCACTACCCCGGCCTTGGCTCCACCCGAAACCATCGAGGAGCAATCTCCCGAAACCCTTCGACCACAAACACCCCAGCACATGGCGCTTCATTCCGATCTGGACACGCCATCCGAAGTCTCTTCCATTGCCTCGACACCTACACTGCCCACTAATCACGCATTCGACTCGCATTCTCCCCTTCTCAACTCATACCAGGACGACTCCCACGAATCCTCGCAAACGCCCAAAAGGGCCGGTTTCCTCCACCCGCTCACATCCCTCTTCACCACGACCCCCTCGAAACCCCCTTTCGAAACCCCCTCGCACTCCACCCCCTCCCTCCCCACCATCCCACCTCACCACCCCCTCCCACTACCCCGCACCCCCACCACCGGCACCACCTCCGGCCCCACCACCCCAACCCAATCCCATCCCCATCCTTCTTCCACCACCCATGGTCCCAAACCCCGCCGCTCCCTCACCAACCTCCTCCGCCACCCTCCCCCCCTCTCCACCCCCCTCTCCTCCTCCCTCAGCGCCGTCGTCGCCGACGAACTCCGCCGCGGCCCGCCGCGCCCCCTCCGCCGCCGCCACACCATCCGCTCCCCGCTCCCCGCCGCCAGCGCACCCGTGACGCCTAACTCAATCGGGTCACGGTCGCGCGGGGTTAGTGACGCCGGGTCGATCTCGGGGATGTTAGGCGGCGGCGGGGGTGGGTCGGTGTGGAGTGGGTTGGCGAGGACGAGGAGCGCGGAGGTGGGAGAGTGGGAGGAAGGGAAAAGGAGGAGAGGGTTGGGGGAGATTTGGGGGGGTTGGAAGAGGAGGGGGAAAGAGGGGAGGGGGGAGGGGGAGGGGGAGGGGGAGCGGGAGGCTGATGTGGAGGCTGGTACGACGGAGGAAGCGGAAGGACGGTAGGGTTAGGGGATGGTGGTTATAGACGGTCGCCTGGCGAGGTCTTGGTGATATCCAATTTGTGCAACGACTGTCGATATGGTCAGGTCTGAGCAGAGCCTGAAAGATACCCGCGGCGGTTGCCGTGCATGAGGGGCATTTTCGTTCCCTGTTAATAATACTTTCGTAGTTAAGTACCGGCGATATTAATGTCGCCATCGTAACATGACGTACAATATCCCAACCGCCTACATGCTCTCTTACGTGATTCTCAACGTACGAATGAGGGATTATAGCCACTCTTCCATTGATTCCTACGGTAGCTACAGAACCTCCCCCGTCCCGTTCAGCTGCCAATAAATCCCCGTCCCACATCCCCACGAGCCATCCATTCACCTCGCGAATTTTCTAGAAACCGCAAATGTCCTCATAATCCCTTGAAAAGCGCAAATGAAAGTAGTGTGGTTAATAAACCCACGGGCCATGGCGATATCATATCTGAGCAGCCGTCCGAACGCCCGCAATGAAATGATCCGTTCCGTCCCCGGTGAACCGGGGTGCCGTCTCGTGTACTTGAGTCCCACCGTTCAGGAGGAAGCACGTATGGAATGGAGATAGATTAGCGGCTGGTGGGGGTTAGTGGATGAAGGAGATCGGACGGATGGGGAACGTACTCCTCGGCCCACTCGTTCTCCCGACGGATCTGGTCCTCTTCTTCGGGGGTAAAATCATTCTGGATGTTGAACGTCTTGCGAATCTCCTCGGGGGTCTTCCCCTTGATCATGTTCGCGACGGTCTTGCACCCGACGTCGAGGAGCGCCTTGATATCGAGGTAGTTGGCCGCCTGGGTGACGTTAGCAATCCGCGATGGGAGAGGGGTTGAGTTATGGGAGACGTACGAGGATGATCTCGAACAACATCTCCTGGTCCACCTGCATGAACTTCTGATCCCACTCGTCGATGTCGGTGCACTTCTTGCGCGACTCGGAGTCCTCGTCGTTGCTTGGCGGAGGGTCCTTCTTGTGCTGCTCGCACCACTCGAGGACTTTCCTCAAGACCGCCTCGTTGACCTAGAAGACGGAGTTAGCTCGTGCGGGTGGCGGGTGTTAGGGGTCTCTATGGAGGACGTCTCACGTTTGGCACAGGGATCGCCTCGGTGGTGGACTCCTCGGGCAGGTCCTCAAGCAGGTGCTTGATGAGAACGGAGCGTTCGGCGACGGGGCGATCTAGATGGCGGGTGGGTTAGAGGCGGAACTGCATGCGGCGAGGTGGGGTGGGGGACGGGATACTCACCGACTTCGATGACGGCGCCATCGGAGGAGGTCAGTTGGATTTTCGGAACCGCAGACATGGTAGAAGGAGTGAAGGGATGTAGGATTCAGTAGATGTTCTATGTCTTGGGATGGTTAAGAGAGCTGAAGAACCGAGGGTTTGTCGTCGTTGTGGATGAGAATGTTATGGAGGCAAGAAGAGGGAGGGAGATGGAGACGGATAGGATTTAAAGGGTAAGAGTAGGTTGGCTGGCAGAGTGGTTCGCAAGGTTACAGGCAACCGTAAAGTGATAATGCGGGATCGGGTGAAATATGAAACGGAACAGTTGATGGATGTGAAGTTGGTCAGACTCCAGATGGCGGATGGATCATGGAGGGATGGTTGGTCACTCACCTGGAGAGTGGCACTCAGTGACTTGGGGCCGCAGGCAGAAGTCGCCCAGCGATCCCGATCGCATAAGTGAGGCATCAACTTATTGTCGCCTGACAGCCTGAGGCGGCAAGGCGGTGAATCAGAATCTGTCAGATCACCTGACCCCAGCCAGATTAAAGGTGATGGACACGCGTTGATGCCTTAACACCTTAGCAGTCTTGTTTGATAAATATGATATTCCTCAGCCAATCAGCAACCAGCAGCGGATTTAGTGCATTGCTGCTGACTTAGGCTTCCCTGCTGCTGATGATTCCATGATCCTGGATCCATCACATTATTCACATATGAACGACCCACGACCAACGTATTCCGTATCAACTCTTCTTATTACTAACAACACCTCCGGCTCCGGCTGTCTGCGCAGCTGCTTACCATTTTCTCTCCCTTTTACTATGTACCATTTCTAATACTGTTTCATTTCATTCCTAAGACCTTTTGTTCATTGTCCTGCTTGCACAACGCGCCCTTTCACTGCCGTCTCCTTCCCCTGCCTCATTGTTCCACACAATCCCCTTCGTTCGGCCTCCGCTTTCTTGGAACAAAGACGGACATTAAATGAACATGTCCTCTCCCGAGCTTTTGCCTGACATACTCGACAAACGGGTACGCTAGCTCATGCGAAAATTCTCCCCCCGGCGACATACGAGACACGATGTGGCGCCGAACATACCTCTTCCTGATCCTAATCCGTCTCTACTTCGCGCTTTCCGCCAGCTACCTTCACCCGGACGAGCATTTTCAAGGTCCCGAGGTGATCGCAGGTACGTTCTCCCCTAAAACACGTTTACTATAACCGCAGCCCCTAACGAGCTTCGACGCGCCGCAGGCCGCGTTTTCAAATACCCCGTCCACCAAACCTGGGAGTTCACCTCGTCGACACCGATCCGGAGCGTGTTTCCGCTATGGCTGGCATATGGGCTGCCGATGTACACCCTGCGACTCCTGTGGGAAGGGGTGGGACAGGACGAGGTCGCGCCGATAGTGGTGTACTGGGCCCTGCGCATCCTGATGTTCATGCTTAGCTTCGTGCTTGAGGATTGGGCGATTCAGGAGTTGGTCGAACAACCAAGGCAGCGGCACATGGCGTTATTGCTAGTTGCGTCGTCGTATGCGACGTGGACTTATCAGACGCATACCTTCTCGAACTCGATCGAAACACTGGTGGTCCTCTGGTGTGTGGTGTTGATACGGAGAATTGTCGAGGACAAAGTAAGCGATCTACCCTGGTATTAAGCAGACATGGCTAACAGAAGTAGAAGCATACCGGACTTTTCGCTTCTTTCGTGCTTGGTTTCCTTATGACATTGGGCACATTTAATCGAATCACCTTTCCGGCGTTTGTTTTACTACCAGCTCTTAGCTTGATACCCCATTTCCTTCGAAAGTGAGTCCTCGAAATCTCCTCATTCCGTCGCAATGCTAACATGCTCTAGACCTCTTTCTCTTGTCACTATTATCATCGCGACGGTTACCACCGCTTCTATCGCGATCATCAGCGATACCAGCTTTTACCGCAATACCGATCTTGCGAAACTCACCCTCCGGGAGGTCATACAATCCCCTGTCATCCCGCCCCTCAACTCCCTCCGCTACAACTCCAACGCCTCCAACCTGGCCCACCATGGTCTCCATCCTCGCACGAACCACATCTTCGTCAATCTCCCCCTTCTTCTCGGCCCCGCCACGCTCCCCCTCCTCTCCACCTTCACCAAGACCCTCCGGCGCTATCTCCGCCGCCTCCGCTCCGCCACCCCCCCGATCACTCCCATCAGCCCCTCCACTACCGGTCCCCGTCCCCCCTCACCCCTCACCCCCACCCAACCGCCCCCCAGCCCCTTCACCACCCCCCTCCCCCTCCCCCTCGCCTCCACCGCCCTCGTCGCCATCGCCATCCTCTCCCTCTTCCCCCACCAAGAACCCCGTTTCCTCCTCCCCGCCGTCCCCCTCCTCCTCACCTGCGTCCGCGTCCCCCGCCTCCGCCGCCCCGCCCGCTCCTTCACCCTCGCCTGGGTCCTCTTCAACGCCCTCCTCGGCACCCTCATGGGGACATACCACCAGGGCGGTGTCGTCCGCGTGCAGGGCTGGCTCGCGCACAACCTACAACTTAACCAGAAGCTCGGCGCCGCCACCATCGCGCTTCCTCCGCCGGCCGCGCAGATCGCCGTCGACCCGCCGATGAACGTCACGGTGCGGGAGATCATCTGGTGGAAGACATACAGCCCGCCGCTCTGGATCCTGAACGGCGCCAACGGCGTGGTTGAGACGGTGGATATGATGGGCGCGGAGCGGGCGGTCGTCCTGGATCGGCTGAAGGTCGGGACGCGGAAGGCGTGCTATCCGACGGAGCGGTCGGGTCTGAGCGAGGCGGTCTTCCTGGTGGCGCCGAAGGCGGTGCGGTTGCTAGGGCCGGGGGACCAGTCGTACGGGGTGGTTGGGGAGAAGAACTTCGGGCGCGGGAGAGGGCTGCGGGTGCGGATGGAGCATCTGGATACACGGCATGTGGGAATGGACGATTTGGATTGGGGGACAGACGGAGTTATTGGGACGTTATGGAACCTGGTGTCCGAGCGGGGACTGGTGGTGTGGAGTATCTGGCGGGACTGCGGCGGGTAAAGTACGACGATTGTTTTGGATTTTTTTTCTATCTGATTTGCTTGCATACAAATGAAGGTTGTGTTGTGTTTCCATTCTGATCCAATACTTGCGAACCGTGGTCCGGATAAAAACGATCGATATGCCCATCGCAGACTGATGCCAAAATATTCATGGTGTTGCAATGTGTTGAATGACGTCGCAGCCAAGCAATGAACTCCAGCTTCCTGCGCCTTATTTCCATACCAGAAGCCTTATTCCAAATGCCAAGCTTCCGACCTAACTCCATGCCAAATACCCTTGTCCATACCAAGCCCTACTTCGGCGAATGCGATGGCGACGGCGCTTGAACCTGCATCACCCTTGCTGCCTCCTCCACCTTCGGTTCCCTTACACTCTCGGACGACGACGCCTCCGACGGCCCGCCACCCCTTGACATTGTCTGCCGCAACCTCTGCTCCTCCTGCGCCTCCCGCTCCATCTTCCGAGTGATCTTCTGTGAGAACTTGCTGCGCGCGCGAATCTCCGGGCCCAGCCAGTAGAAGATATACACCGGAATCACGAACGCGATCGACAGGCCGCCGAGCAGCGTGCTCGCCTTCTGCAGCCGCCGCCTGGGGCCGAGGTCGCGGTACAGCGGCCCCGCGTACAGAGCGGAGATGCCGGCGAGGAAGTCGCGGGCGAAACCGTTGCCGCCGGTGGCCGACGCTGCGTAGGGCCCGTACGCGGCGACCATGTAGTCGATGGTGGCCATGTAGATGCCGAAATTCGCGATGCCGACGAGGCAGCCGAAGAACATGGGGACGATCCAGTGGAATTCGTCGGGGCCGCCGGAGGTCCAGGCGAAGCCGAAGAGGCCGACGACGAGGAGGGGCGCGAGGTAGAGGAGCCACCAGAGGCGGTCCTCGGGGCGGGCGGACTGCGGGTGGCGGTCCATTTTGAACATGTAGCGGCGGATGGGGTAGAAGAAAGAGAGGTAGCCGATGAGGTAGCCGACGCCGATGGGGAGGAAGGCGAGGCCGACGCCGATAGGGCCGAAGCCCCATTGGGAGAAGACGGGCTTGAACGACTCGAGGAAGGTGAAGATCAGCGCGTCGGAGAAACCCGAGAGGAGTGAGAGGCAGAGCACGATGGCCTCGGTGAAGAACATCTTGAACGGCCGCGCCCAGATCGTACAGACGCGGTTGAAGGTCATCTTCTCGTGCTCCGGCTCCGCGGGCGGGACGACGCCAAGCTTCTTCGCCTTGCGGATCTCCGCCTTCACGCATTGGCGTTGCTCCGTTTCGGGCACTAGGATCTGGTGTAGGGCTTGGACGACGACGCCGAAGGCGGCCTGCGCGTAGAAGTTGGCGCGCCAGCTGCAGTGTTCTTCCAGGTAGCCGCCGGCCACGGGACCGACGACGGAGCCGAGCACCGATGCGAACACCACGAAGAGGACGGCGTATCCGTGGTTCTTGACATCCCACATGTCGGCGACGACGCCTAGGGTGACCGAGCCGCCAGCGGAGCAGAGGCCGCCCAGGAAACGGCCGACGAGGATGGTAGCGATACTGGAAGAGTAGTTAGCATTCGCAACAGAGCTGGTGAAGTCCCCAGAATGCACCTACTTTTTCGCACAACTGCACATTATAGCCCAGATGTTGACGAGCATCATGCTAAGCAGGAGCACCTTTTTGCGACCAAACTCCTCCGACCACGGCGCCCAGAGCTCGCAGCCGAACGCGTAGGACAGCAAGAAGATCATCTGGCCTAGCATGACTTTCTCATGGCTGATGTTGAACTCCGCGGAGATTCCCGACGCGGCGTTGGGATAGACGCTCGCGTTGAAGTTCATGGAGATCTGCACCCAGAACAGGACGAACAGGATGAGCCACTTCTTGCCTCGGGAGAAGTGGAAAGCCGGCATGGGAGAATATGACACCCCATGGCGGATGAGGTCCGCTCCATTTGGGTTGATGGGAGAGTTGGCACGGTGGCCCTGTTCCTTTTGTAGGCGTCGGGTTTCATTGCTGGAGTTCGAGCCGGCGCGGGCCTTGGGTGTCGTTTCAACGGGCACTTCCACTGGCCGTTCCGCTCGCACTTCCATAGAGATTTCCTCCGACTCAGAGTCGGAGCGCGATGAGAGTTTCCCCATGATGACGGCTTGGGGTAACCCGGATGGCGTAGAGGAGTGTATAACGATGAGTGTTTGAAGATGAGTTGGTTTGGTGGTACGGTAGTTGCCGCGACAAACGACGAGAGACGGCTGACTAAAAATAAACTCCAACCCAAAAAGAAGCGATAAATCCGCCGCTTGATTCGATCGTGAGACGGCTCGTTGGTTTTGGGCGTTGCGCGCCGTATTAGTATGCAGGTGAGCAAGGTGCACCGGTCATCGTGAACTGGCGGAGGCGCGATCGCCAATGAGCGGCGGGAAATTAACAAGGGATATAACGGCGGTAAAAGAATACTTGTCACGATGTCGACATGATACCAGGTGACGATGCGTTCATTGGGGGTTTGTTGAGGTTCAGCACGAAACGTGGACCGCATTTCCCACAGTTCCAACGAAGCGGCGGATCGCGGCGAAGCGCACCAGCGGGAGCCAATTGCGGGCGAGGTATTGGGGAGTCGTTCCCAGCTGAGGTATTGGGAGTCGCGATGGGGATTGCGAAGGGGAGAGCCTCTTCGCCTGGAGTCCTGCTTCCATGTCAACCTACCCATATCATGACCTGGCTTATCAGGATAATTCCCCAGATAACTCGACTTTGATTCCCCATGGGGATCGAAACATGACTTCGGTATCTCTTGTGGGCTCAAAATTCTTAACGCGAAGCAGGTTTTCCATGCTCTTGTGCGAAACCGCTGTCATTGGGAGGGAAATGGGAAAGATCCATGGATCGAAGCAAAGGAAATCGGGACCGCATGACGCACGCATCATGCAACACCCAACATCATTGGAAGAATTGGTGTCGATAACGGTACGTGGTACCGTATGATTTATTTGTGTGGGAAATATGGAGGCTTCTCCCATGTTGCGTGGGCTGAGAGTTTGGTTCTAAATCTTGATTATTCCGCAGCTGGCCTCCATTTCTTGCAGCACGATGGACGGCGCCTCCCGGTTCCTACCAGGCACACCCGATTAGGTTTCCCTACTTTTCGGCATTTGGAGTTCAAATACACACAGCGATGTTGAAAAATCTCCAAACTATTCCCTTGAAACCGGAAGGAGGTGGTGCCAGTAGTCTAGACGGTACATGTCGGTTGTTTGCGATAGGTGAAGTTTGGCCGATTTTCCTCGTGGAAACCAATTCGGTCCATGAAAGGTAGCTGGATGGATTCGATGACATGGTTCGGCTGGCTCACTGAACCAGGACTTCAGA